AAAACATCACATCCCTCCCATCTCCCCCCTACCTCTCCCTCATTCCTGTCATTCCAGCGGATTGTCCCTCATCCATTGTTGCTATCTCTCGCTCTTCTCTGCTTGGATCGTCCTGCTTCCCTTGTCCGCCCTCCCCTTGCTGGCCAGTGTCGCTCCTCAATCCTGTCATTCTCCCCCCCTGCCTCCATCGACGTCCGGCCCGCCGCCCGGCCGACGTGCGGGGTCGAGAAGGCCCGCGCCTCGTGGGACGCGGCAGGAGGGGCAAGAGGCACTGGGGGGAGGGGGAGGAGGAGGAGGAGGAGGAGGAGGAGGAGGAGGAAGAGGAGAGGGAGGAGGAGGAGGAGGTGGAGTGGAGGTAGAGGAGGAGGAGGAGAGGAGGAGGAGGAGGAGGAGGAGGAGGAAAGAAGAGGAACAGGGCGGAGGAGGCCAATGAAGGGGGGGGAGGGGCGGTGCGAGGATGCGATTTCCTCTCCCTCCCCCCCTCCCCCCGATTTTTTCTCATATAAAAAAACGGGGGCCGCCCATCGCCGTCCAGTCTGCTGTTTTTATTTTTTTTGAGGGGGGGAAATGAGGGGGAAAAACAGGTTTTCTGGGAGGAGGAGGAGGAGGAGGAGGAGGAGGAGGAGGAGGAGGAGGGGGAGGGGGAGGGGGAGTGGGAGGGGGAAGAGGAGAGCAGAGCCCTTCACAGAGCGCGCAGAGCATTCAGAGACGCACGCGCAATCTCTGTGTGAAAGTCTCGCGCGAACCCTCGACCTCGAGGTACTCCACAATCCCCCGCTCTCGAGGAGGAGGGGTACCAGTGTAAACCCAAGAGTCATCAACGATGTTGGCATAAACCCTTCCTCCAAGTTCCCTCTTCATGGGCCCCGTTGGACGACAGCCGCTTGAAGACCCTGAAGCATGCCGAACCATTCTCATTTCCAGCGCCACGGATCAACCCGACTGCTGCGTCTTGACGATGACGAATTGTACCAGAACGCTACTCCTGGGACTTCAACACCGCGAACCAACGTAACTGTTGCACCCTCATCATTACGAACATTTCCAAAACACAACTTATGGTACGTTGACCATGGAAGTCCGTGAAAGCCTTGCAGGTTTGTTAAAAGGGAGGTGCAGGGCGATAAGAAGCGAGCCACATTGTGAAAACGAACCGCCCTCAATGCGCGAAACTCTTGCAATTGCCTAAAACGAGTGCGCGCGGCGATCAGGCGAGAGCCACATTCTGAAAACGAACCGCCCTCAATCTGTGAAACTCCTGTAATTGTTTAAGACCAATGTGCCCGGCGCTAAGGCGCGAGAGCCACATTTTGAAAACGACCCACCTTGCATTTAATATTTGTTTGCATTTGTTTCAGACGAGTGTGCGCGGCGCTGCCACATTTTGAAAACGACCCGCCCTCCATCTGTGAAGCTGTTGTCAACTATTCCGTTTCAGGGTCATAGGTGGTGAGGAAGATTCAGGCGAAACGCCCGGCCCGCCCTTTCGATCAATCTCCGGGGTCGCCAGGGAGGAGTGATTTGTAAGGAAAGGAATGGAGGAGGAGGAGGAGGAGGAGGAGGAGGAGGAGGAGGAGGAGGCTCAGAATGAGGAGGCGGGAAGCGAGCGGGCGAGCGAGTCGCCCCTCTCGCGCTCCGCCGCTGTACAGAGCGTGTGGCCTAACGTGGAGCAGACGTGCCCCCTGGGTGCCGAGACGAAGCCTGCGCCGGAGGCCCCCCCGCAGCGCGCCCGCCCGCGCGCGCCCGCTGCGCCGCGAACCTTTGGCCGAGGGAGGAGGAGAGGAGGAGGAGCAGGAGGAGGAGGAGGAGGAGGAGGAGAGGAGGAGGAGGGGAGGAGGAGGCGTGAGGAGGGGGAGAGGAGGAGGGGAGGAGGAGGAGAGGAGGAGGAGGAGGATGAGAAGGAAGAGGAGGAGAAGGAGCAGCAGGAGGAGGAGGAGGAGGAGGAGGGAGGAGGAGGGGGAGGGGGAGAGGTAGAGGAGGCGCAGGAGCAGGAGGAGGACGAGGAGGAGGAGAGGTGAGGAGGAGGAGGATGAGGAGGAGAAGGAGGAGAGGAGGAGGAGGGAGGAGGGATAGGAGGCGGAGAGAGGAGGAGGAGGGAGGGGGAGGGGGAGGAGGAGGAGATGAGAGGAGGAGGAGGAGGAGGGGAGAGGAGGAGGAGGAGGAGAGGAGAAGAGAGGAGGAAGAGGAGGAGAGGAGGAGGAGGAGGAGGAGGAGGAGGAGGAGGAGGAGGAGGAGGAGGAGGAGGAGGAGAGGAGAGGAGGAGGAGGAGGAGGAGGAGGAGGAAGGATGAGGAGAAGGAGCAGCAGAGCAGGAAGTAGGAGGAGGAAAGAGGGGGGAAAGGAGGAGACGGAGGAGGAGAAAGAGGAGGAGGAGGAGTTGGAAGAGGAGGGAGGAGGAGGGGAGGAGGAGGAGGAGGAGGAGGAGGCGGAGGAGGAGGAGGAGGAGGAGGAGGAGGAGGGAGGAGGGAGGAGGAGGAGGAGGAGGAGGAGGAGTAGGAGGAGAGAGAGGAGGAGGAGGAGGAGGAGGAGGAGGAGGAGGAGGAGGAGGAGGAGGAGGGGGCATGAGGAGGAGGAGCAGAAGGAGGAGAGGAGGAGGAGGGGGGAATGAGGGAGAGGAGGAGGAGGAGGAGAGAGGAGAGGAGGGGAGGAGGAGGGAAGGAGGAGAAAGGGCGAGGCCCTCGCTTGAGACGGTCTCGCGCTCGAGTCGGGGCGCCCTCCTCGTGCCCTGCCGTTGTCTCCACCTCATCGTGTCCTCTTCCTCTCTCCCGACCCCTCCCTCCCTGTCCTCCTCCTCCCCCTCCTTTTCCTTACTCCCGCAGCCCACCCCCAGCCCCGGGCGCGATCCCCCCCCCCCCCGCGCGCCTCTTCCGGAGCACCTGCCGTGCGGTTGTCCGCCGGGGGGCCCGGAGAGCCGACGTCGCAGACAGCAAACAACACGGCGATCATAGACCGCAGCGGCCGGAGCCTTGGACCCCGTCTCTCCTCTCTGCGGCACGCTCCTGGCGGTATCGACCGGAGGAGGAGGAGGAGGAGGAGGAGGAGGAGGAGCAGGAGGAGGAGGAGGAGGAGGAGGAGGAGCCCGGAGGAGGAGGAGGAGGAGGAGGAGGAGGAGGAGGAGGACGAGGAGGAGGAGGAGGAGGAGGAGCAAGAGCAGGGGGCCGAGACGAGGCAGAGCTGCAGGCTGCGAGCAAGTTGCGGCGCCAGATCTCCGGGTCGCCCCGCCCTCCCCCCCTAAGTTTGTCGGGTCATGACTCGCCTCTCCGGCGGCCGATCTCGACGATCCGGGCACCCCCGAGCGCTCTCGGCGAGGCGCAGCGGCTAAAGCGCACCCCGAGACTGGAAGTTCGCCGAGGACCTGCGAACACGCAGGGAAGCACGATCGACCATACAGTCAACCATGACAGTGAGGATGGGGCAGCTTTCCGAGGCGGCCCTTGCATCCTTCGGTATTCGGCATCCTTCGGTGTTCTGCTGCGCTCCGCGCGGAAAATGCCAACATGGCGTTCCAAGGCCTTCTGCATCCTTACCGCGCATCTGTACTATCCTTAAGTCGCGCCTGTCCCTCTACAGGAGGAACATTCAAAAATAGTCAACACATCGTCTGGGGACGATTTCTGCATCATTGTTTGATTATGCTGGAGCATTTGTTGACTATTTCTTCATTTGTCCTCCAAAATCCCCCGGCAGGGGGACAGGCCCGACTGAATACTATCCCGATCGACCACATCGAAGTCTTCTCGGAAGCTGGGCACCATCGCCTGCGCACACGGGGGGGGGCCCCGGGCGGCCCCGCGTGGCGATCGCGCCCCTCGGCTCCTGGCCGAGGGGCCTCCCAGACGGTGTGCTGGCCACACGCCTGGCTCGTTTCCAAGTCTTCGTAACTTCTCTTATTTTTTTGCGGGGTCAAGATCCTTTCATCTCTAATTGTTCTATCCTGGGCCTCGTCCCGGTCACCAGGGGGTCAGGAACACCTAGAGACGAGCACAATCAGAAGTGAGCACCGTCAGAAATGAACGACGTGTACCGTGTGGTGAGTCAGTGGGGATTCGGGGTCACCGCGCGATTTTGGGACTTGGGTCGTCCTCCGAGGACATCCCCGGGAGCCTGGGGCTTCCGGGCTACCAAGGCCGTGCGGCCACGGACCGCGCGGAGAGATTCCTTGGGATTCCCAGGTCACGGGGCCGCCCGTCACACTGTTTTGGGGCCCCGAAGCGTTAGGGGGGGGGGGTCCGGGCAGGCCTGCGCGGCGATCGCGCCCCCCCGGTCGAGGGGGGGAAGCCACCCCGACCCCCGTGGCTTGCGTCTGCTGCAGTCCTGGGTGCTTACTCAAGCAGGCCTGCCCTGTTCGAGCCCGCTCTTCAATTCGGGGATGCTTCACGTGAGGGTTGATTTTTGTTTGCCTCCTCTGGCTCAGCGCTGGGCGTGGGCGTGGGCCCGCCCCGCCGCGGCCCTGCAGTCTGGGGGGGAACGCGTGCTCACGCGTCAACGCACGCGTGGATGTAGTCCTGTGGGGGTACCTGTAGTCCGGGTGGGGGGTCCCTGCAGCCCCGGGGGAAGGGTACTTGTGGTCCGGGGGAAGGGTACCTGCGGTCTGGGGGGGAACGCGTGCTCGTGCTCACGCGTCAAGGCACGCGTGGATTTAGTCATGTGGGGGTACCTGTAGTCCAGGGGGGGGTACTTGTAGTAGTCTGGGGAGGGGGGGGGTACCTGTAGTCTGGTGGGGGGGTACCTGTAGTCTGGGGGAGGGGTTCCTGTAGTTCGGAGAGGGGGTACCTGTAGTCCGGGGGGGTACCTGTAGTCCGGGGACCCAGAACTAGTGAGCGACACAGAGTATTTGTGCCCCGCCCTGCCTGGCGGTCAAACGCCAAACCAGGCTCCATCCTGGCCGGGGGCTTCAGGTCCGAGCCCCCTTGTAAGCGTGGGCGGTGCAGGGGGGGAGAGGAGGGAGGCGTGGGGCAGCCTTGAGTGTGCGCCGACGGCACCCCTCAGCGTTGGCTATAGGCGCGGGGGCGCGGGCCTGCCCCGCGGGCCCCGCCCCCCCCCCCCCCCCGCAATGGCGGCGACCAGGCCGCAGGGCGCGCCACCGCTGCTGGCTCACGGGGGGGGCTCGTCGCCGAGGGCGGGCGGCGCGGGCGCGGAGGCGGGCTGGGCCACGGCTGGGGGGAGCTGCGATTTCGTTCAACCCACCCCTGGGGGGGCCCATCGGCTTCGGCCCTCTCTCTCTCTCTCTCTCTTCTCTCCATCTTTTTTTTTTTCTCTCTCTCTCTCTCTCTCTTTCTCTCTCTCTCTCCCTCTTTGCATATATATAAGTATATATATATGGAATTGTACACGCGAGTGTAAATATGGCTACATATGCATTAACATTTACACATCTGCAACTTTGAATAAAAATGGCTAAGCCATGCTTGTATTACACTTATAATTTTAATGTGTACTACAATAGCTATACAGGTATTACATTGACTATAAATGTATTACAATTCCACATTTGAATGCATCATTCTGTATGCTTGACATGCGCATGTGACTATACATGTATTTGCACATCTATGGGACAATACATGTGTTTATGATTATAAATGTATATGATTATAAATGCAAATATAGCACCTCGCAAGTGCGGATCAGAGTGAGGGGGCGGCGGGGACGTCGGCAGTCTGCGACGCCCTGAAGCAGCCCGCCGCAGACGCTTCATTTTTCAAGTTATACAGCAAGCCCACCGCCGGCACCGAATTGCACGTTAAAGCGATGTGAGTGGGTCGCGGGTGGGTCGTGGGTGGGTCGCGGGTGGGTTATGGGTTGGGTCGCTGGATGGGTCGCGGATGTGTGTCGCGGCTGGGTCGCGAGCCGGGTCGCGGGTGGGTCGCGGGTGGGACGACGACAACAAACAATGCAGCAACAAGAACAACAACACCACAAACAACACCAGCAACAATCACAACAAAAACACCACCACCATCACCACCACCACTACCAGCAACAACAACGACGGCAACAACAATTAGTTTAAGATTGTTCTTATTTGCTTGCGTGCCATCCAGCACCTATATTTCCCAATCCCTCGATACCCGCCCTCTTCGTCTTCGATCGTACCCCCTTGGGGACATACCTCCGTTACTTGCCACGTGTATTTGGTGCAGCCCCGAATACAGGGGAAGAGAGGACGGATGGAGCAGGAGCAGAAAACACGTGGCAGACCCAGACGGGCTGGGCGGGCGGGTGGACCCTAGAACGGGCGTGTCGGAAGACGAGCCGAGGCGGCCAGGTCGAGCATGCGGGTTGTTGACGCGTGAGTTTTGTATGAATCGCGAGGAGCTCTCGAGCGATAGCGCGATTCCCGAAGAAGTCGCGAATGAAAATCAAACCGGGAGCGCGATTCCTGAGCGTCGAGCGTGAGGAAGTATCAGGCGGGAGCCGTTGTTGTGGTGATTTCAGATTTTCCTTGAACAGAAAAACGGGGCGAGCCCCAGGAGGTCCATTTTGATTGAAACACAGTGGTCGCCGGGGGGCCTGCAAGAATTATTGCTTCGACATGCGAACCTAACAACAGCAACAGCAGCAGCATCAGCAAACATAACAACAATCCGAACGGCGGAACCTCATTGCAGCCCCGCGGCCAGGGATATTGAATGACCTCCGCCCCCCACACTCTGATCTCTATCAGGGGGGACCTCGAGGCTTGGACGGGCGGCCGGCTCATTTTTCTGATATCCTTGGTGGCTGCTGAAACCGCGTTCGCCCGATGCGCTTGTGCGCAGGAGCGCGGACGGAATGATGATTTCTTTACGCGCGAAAGTTATTTGAGGAAGTAAGGGGCGTTCCCATGACACGCCGAAGAAATTGCAGTAGTTCCGAGCAAATCGTTTTGGGGGTCGTTTCCAGAATGCCTGGAGGGCTACAGGCACTCAGGAAATGCTCGGTCGTCGAACTTCGAATCTCGATTCACCGCCTGTCTCTCTCGATCGAGGAATTCAAACCCTCTGGGGGGCCTCTTGGGTTGTCTTGGGGCGAATTCGGGGGCCCATCGGGCCGTTTTGGACGCTGCGAAGACGTATAATGCGGATGCGCTAAACATATATATATACATACATACCTATGTATAGATAGATAGATAGATAGATATATAGATAGATCGATCGATCGATAGATAGATAGATAGATAGATATGTCCCCATGGGAATCGGACGATGTGTGCTTCCTCGGGGTTCTCTTAACGGCCTCTTGGGGCGTCTTGGGGGCCTGTTGCGCCGTCATCTGACCATTCAGGTTCCTCCCGGAGCGCTCTTGCGCTGTCTTGGGTCTCGCTTGCGCCTCCCCGGTGACCCCTCTGATCGCCACGGGTATGTTCGCAAGGCCGGGCAGGGCGCCCTGGGAGGCCCAGAAGGGCCAGCGGACCTTTTCCAAGGGTGTCCAGGGGGCCGCCGAGACGTCCGAAAGGGCGTCCAGGGCGTCCCGGGGGGGGGGCGTTTTTGGGAAGGGGGGGGGGGTGAGGCGGGCAATGACATTTTACAGGTAGGGATATGTAGTGCAACTGCAAATTCAAATGTAGATATGCGGTGATCCTTTTTCTTTCTTTTGATCACCGCGTTCCAGGAGCGCGTCGCGCGCCTCGTACATATGCTGAGCCGCGCACGGGAACAGTCGGGGCCTCTCCCCCGCACGGCCCCCCCGAGCCCAGTCCGCCCGGGACGCCACCCTCTCGTCGTCTCCACTGCCTCTCCCCCTCTGACCCCCCCCCCCCCCCCATGCACGAGGTCATCCGGGCGAGACTCGACGCTCACCTCCATCGCAACAGCCGCTGGCTCCTCTTACCTGCGTCCAGCGAGGACGCCTGGCAACCACGTTGCACGAATCGCGCTTTGGGTCGCGTTTTGGGGTGCCTTTCCGCGCAGCTTTGTTGCAGGTATCAAAGGCGCGCGCGCCAAAACGTTTTGGTTTCTCTTAAAAGCGTCGTCCTGGGCGTTTTTGCATGGCCTTGCCGTTTTGCATCAAAAAAACCTTACTTTTCGAGCGCTCGTTGCTCTCTTTGCGGGGGCGTTTTTAGGCCCGCCGATGTGGATTGCTATACGTCGTTTTGTCTGTTTTCTGGTCGATGGCTGTTCCTTGTTTTCCCTTTTGTCTTCGCTCCTGCTTTTGGTTTCTGCCGCCGTTCCCCTTCCCAGAACACAGAGCGGACAAAAGCAAAGAGCCTGTTTTTCTTTGGATTCCGGCAAGTTTACTTGCATGGACGGGGGGGTGGCTGAGTCTGAAGCAAGCCGAAAACAATTCGACGTGCGGGAATCACGCAAGTCGAAAGGCACTTGCACGCTCGTGTTCGATTGAAGAGGGGCGAGGGGGGAGAGGGGGGGAGGGGGGGGCGAGCGCCATGCAAGTAAGCTTGCCTGGATCTAAAGAAAAACAGGCTCCAAGACCACCCAGCACCGGTTCAACAAAACGCCCCTTGAAATAGGCCCCGGAGGCCCGATATAGCCCTGGGAGGGGCCATCGGCCGGCCAGCGGGCCCGGAAAAACCCGACGCCCCAGCCAGCAGCAAGGGCAAGAGAAGAGCAACAGGAACGGTACGAGTGAGAATAGAAAGACAGGGCCGACCGCACGCCAGCAAAAGGAACTGAGGACGTCGCAAACGGCAGTGTGAAGCAATGCAACGAAAATTGGTATGCCAACCAAGAAAACGTAGCCAGCAGCAAGGGCACAAGAAGAGCAACAGGAACAGTCGGGCGAAGGGAACTATGCACATGCACCGATCCTGTCAAGGCCCATCCTCGACCCAGGCTCGGTGCATATACCTTCCTAGCCAAGGCAGGAGGGCGTATGCACCGATCCTGGGCTCAGGATGGGCCTGGCCAGAATCGGTGTATGTGCATAGTTCTCTTTCCTCTGAACAGTACGAGTGAGAATAGAAAGACAGGGCCGACCGCACGCCAGCAAAAGGAACTGAGGACGTCGCAAACGGCAATGTTAAACAATGCAACATAGTGGTATGTCAACCAACAAACATAGCGAACAACGCAAACAGCATGTTCTGTTGTTGTTCTTGCTGGGACGTAGAAGCGCTAACAAAAATGATGTGCAACACGCCGCGTTTGAAAAAAAACAACCAGGCTGAGTCACCAGTCCTTGCTTTGTTTTTCAGCTGGCGCAGGCGGAGGCGGGGGGTGCACAAACTTCGTCTGCAAAAGTGGCCCCTTCTTTCAAAGAGGCGCGGAAAAACAGGCGGCTGTAGCCCCGCCCACGGACGAACCCGTCGTCCGAATCGTTGCGCGCTCCCTCCCTTTTTTTTTGTTTCTCTCTCTCTCTCTCTCTCCCCTGTCTCACTGCCTCTCTCTCTCTCTATCTCTCTTGTTCTCTCGCACTATCGTTTTGTCACCTCTCTCTCTCTCTTTCCCTCTCTCCTTGCTATGGCTCTCCGTCTCTCTCTTTCTCTCACTCGCTCTTTCTCCCTCCTTGTCGGAGAGAGAGAGAGAGAGAGAGAAAGTGTGAAAGAGAAAGAGAGAGAGAGAGAGAGAGAGAGAAACAGACAGACAGACAGACCGACAGACCGACTTACAGACTGACAGACAGACTGACACATAGACAGAGAGCGAGAGCGAGAGAGCCAACAACAACAACATCAACAACGACAACGACAACGACGACAACACCAACATCAACAACAACACCATGGCCATCAACAACAACAAGATGTTCAGTACTGTTCGATCTTATCTGTGCGCGTGCCTCCCCACACGTAGGTCTCAAACTCTCGATACCCGCCCTCTTCGTTTTCGATCGTACAGTGAGCGGCTTGAATAAGGAACAGTTACTTTTCAAAAGGGGCTCGGTCGTTCCTTAGATTTTACATGCGTTATGTACAGTTCCTTATGCGTTATTTACTGTTTATCGTTCCTTATGCGTTATTACTTGGGATAAAAAGGGGCTTCGTTCCTAATTTACCGTTCCTTAGGTCAGGCCGATGACTGTACCACCTTGGGGTGTATCCTTCTTACCTGCAGCGCGCATCTCGTGCAGCCCCTACGGCAAGGGAAGAGAGGGCGGACGGAAGAACGGGACAAAGGGGGAGGGAGGAGGATGGAGCACGAGGGGGTAGCAAGAGGGGGGCTATGAAGTGAAAACACGCGGCCGAACCAGACGGGCAGGCTGGGCGGGTAGACCCTCACAGGCAGATCGGGAAGGCGGGCCCGGGCGGCCAGGTCGAGCAGGCGGGCTGCTGAAGCGTACGTCCTGCATGAAATGCGACCGATGGCGCGGTCTTCACGTAAATCGTGAGACAGGCCAAGGCGAGAGCATTTGAATCAAATGCGAGACGCGGCGTCGAGGGCGCGGCGTTTGAATCAAATGCGAGACGGTCCGACGCGAGAGCGCGAGTTCTGCATAGATTGTGAGGACGTCCCATGCGAGAGCGCGATTTGGGAATAATGTGTGAGGAAGTGTCAGGCGGGAGCCGCTGTTGTTGCAAACCGGGGGCCAACAACCCAATTCTGAAACCCAAGGCATTCCTATATTAAAGGGACACGGTACGGGCCCCGGGAGGGGCACCCCAATTCAGAAAATATATTGTGCCCCGGCGGGGGGATCAACCATTTTTTCAGTAGTGCGCGCGCAGCAATAACAACATCGACAACAACACAAGTTTCGATATTGTTCGCTTTTTATCTGCCCGCGTACATTTCAAATCGTGTGTATGTGCACAAACATACATATACAAACGACCATTTATACACACATAAGTGTAAGTATAAATATCACACCCTCGATATCCACCCTCTTCGTCGTCGATCGTATCTCCTGGGGGGTATGCCCTTGTTACCTGCAACGTGTGTCTCGTGAGCCACCGAAAGCAGGGGAAGAGAGGACGGATGGAAGAAATGGACAAAGGGGAGGGAGGAGGGGGAAGTGTCAGGCGGGAGCCGTTGTTGCTGCAACCGGGCGGGCCAACGATAGTGCTTGAGCAGGAAGACTTCCCAGTAAAATCAGGCATTCCACTTGAAAAACACATTGCGCGCCGGCGGGGGGAACAACAGTAGTTAGTCTTCAAGAGTGAGGCTTCAGCTACAGCAGCGACAACAACAATCATTTCAAGTCAATTCGCTCCGATCTGCTCGCGTGCCACTTAACACGTATGTCTCAAACCATCGGTGCCCGCCTTTTCCGTCTTCGATCGTGCCCCCTTGGAGGTACATCTTCCTTATTTGCCACGCGATTCGAGCGCAGCCCTTAAGACACGGCAAAAGACGAGCACGGATGGAAGGGGTAGGGGGAAGGATGGCGCACGAGAGAAATTAGCAGGAGGGGGGTTAGGAGCAGAAAACATGTGGCAGAACCAGACGGGCAGATTGGGCGGGTAGGCCCTATCGGACGGGTTGCTGAAGCGGGTTGTTGAAACATGATATTTTGATGAATCGCGAGGAAGTCTCGAGCCATAGTGCGATTATACAGAGTCGCTGGGAAATCCAAAGCGAGAGCGTGATTCTTGAGTGTCGAGTGTTCGGCGTTTGAACAATTTGCGAATTCCACGCGAGATCGCGATTCCTGCATACACTGTGAGGAAGACAGTCGCGAGAGCGTGAGTGTGGAGTAAATTGTGAGAACGTATCAGGCGTGACCTGTTGTTGTTGACCCTTCACTACGGAAGAGAAAATATTGTGCACAGTGCATTGTGAATTGAAGTGCCCTCCCCAGGGCTCGCACTATGATTTAATCTAAAGGAAATCGTTGGTCCCAGAATTGTGATGTTGGCCCCCGGCTTACAATAACAGCGGTTCCCAGATCGCGCTCTCGCGCGGGACTTCGTCACACATTATACAGGATTCGCGCTCTCGCGGGAATCTGTATTCACAATTGATTCAGATGCCGAGCGCTCGACACCCAGGAATCACGCTCTCGTTGGGGCCTTTCTCACGATGTACTTGGGAATCGCGCTGTCGCTCGGGACTTCCTGGCGATTCATGCAGGACGCACGCTTCTGTAACCTGCCTGCTCGACCTGGACGCCTGGGCCTGCCTTCCCGACCCGCTCGTCAGGACCTACCCGCCTGATCTGCCCGTAGCTTTCTGCTCGGAGCCCCTCTCCTGCTAATTTCTCTCGTGCTCCATCCTCCTCCATCCCCCTTGTCCCTTCCTTCCATCCGTGCTCTCTTCCCCTGCCTTTGGGGCTGCACGAAACACACGTTGCAGGTGAGAAAGATGTGCCCCTAAGGCGGTACGATCGAAGACGAAGAGGGCGGGTATCGAGTGCTTGGGACATACGTATTGAACGGCATGCGAGCAGATGGGAGCGAATCGTCTTAAACTGATTGCCGTTGCTGTTGATGTTGTGGTGTTATTATTGTTGTTGGTGGTGACGTGTTTGATGTTGTTGTTGTTGGTGTTGGTGTTGTCGTTGTCGTTGTTGTTGTTACTGCTGCTGCTGATGCTGCCGTTGTTGTTGCTGCTGTTGTTGCTGTTGTTGCTGTTGTTGTAAACCAGAGGCCTGCAAACGTCTTCAGCAGGAAGACGTCCCCTGATAATAAACAGGGTGCGAGCCCCGAGGGGGGCATTTCAATTGAGAAGCACAACGTGTGCACCAGAGGGTGGGACATCAAAAACAGTTATTCGCCAAGAGTGGGAATTCAACAAGGGCTCCTCCAGGGGGAGGTCGGGGGAGACAGCTCTCCCCCAGCCGCGGCCGCTCGGGGAGGAGGGCGTGGCGCCTGGCACATGGGTGGAGGAGCTGAAGCACCAGATCAAGCAGGCCACGGACGAGGGCCGCTTCGACGAGATCCCCGCGCTGCTGCAGCAGATCCGGGCGCGGCAGCACGCCGCGGAGGGCGAGGCCGAGCGGCCGGGCAGCAAGCGGCCGCCGCTCCGACCCTCCACGGCCTCCACGCGCGCGCCCATCTCGCAGCCCGGCTCCCCGGAGCCCGCCGCGCCGCCGCGGCTCCCGCCGGAGGCGGGCGCGGGGCCCCCGAGGGGCCTGCGGCCCTCGCTGAGCTGGGCCTCCCGCGAGGGCTCCTCGGGCCAGCTCTCGCAGCTCCCCTCCCCGGAGCCGCTCACGCCGCCGGGGGGCGCGCCCGCGCCGCGCGCCGCGCGGGCCGCCCCGCCGGAGCCGGCCGCCCCCGCGCAGAGGCGGCGCCCGCACACCGCCAGGGCCCGGGCCGCGGCCGCGCAGCAGCCGCCGGGGCCGTGGAGCCTGCCGTACGGCAGCCTCCCGGAGGAGTCGACGGCACGCTCACTAGAGCGACGCTTCGCCAGACCCAGAGATCCCAAGGTGTTGGAAAACATCGAGGCGGAGGTTTTCCGCGGATTTCGGCCCCCAGGGGCCCTCGCCGGGCCTCGGGACCGTCAAAAAACGACTCGGGATGAAAAACTGGTCCCGGGGAATGGGTCGAGACTTCCGGGGACCCCGCATTGAAAAAATCACGACATGGGATCTCTGGGAGAGCGACCCTTCGCCAGAGTGGCCTTTGGTGCGGGCTCACCGCGGGGTCCCCTCGACTGCTCCGCGCGATGCTCTCGCGGCCGCCTGCTCGCTCGGGTTTGGCCACCTTGCGCCCTCCCCAGTCCGCGCAGCAAAGGTCACTCCTGCCTGCCCAGAGATCCGGACGCCGTGATTTTTTCAAAGCGGGGTCCTGGGGAGTCTCGACCCATTCCCCATGGACCCGTTTTTCATTCTGAGTCGTTCTCTGACGGCCCCGAGGCCCGGCGAGGGCCCCTACATGTATAGGAGCCGAACACTGCGAGAACCTCCGCCTTTGACCTTCCCTGCACCTCCATCTTCCATACCTTCCGACAGCTGTGGAAGGCGCGGAAGGTGATGCATTAAATAAAGCTATTGAGAGCCCCAGGAAGCGCAGGACAAGTCAGCGTTTCACGAAGCGCAAGATTGTGGAAGGCCAGCACGGAAGGTCTGGAAGAGTGAGGGCGAGGGTTCTCAAAAGGCACTGGATCCCTAAAATGGGCCCCTCTTGCGACGTAATGGAGGATGACGATTTATAAATGACCAGGGGTCGTGTTTACGCGGCGGCGCCCGGGATGACGATTAGAAAAAACCGGCCGCGGGCTGGAACAGTTTTTTTTTGTTTTCATCGTTCTCCTCCAGTCAGAAACTTATGCAGAAAAATAGCAGCGAACTATGCTTTTCATCGTCCCCGCATGAGCCGAAGGAGGACGAGGCGGAGCCGGCGCTCGCGCTCGCGGGCGCGCCGGGCCGCAGCGCCCGGCGCCCCACCACGGCGCCGAGCGGCAGCGCCCGGCCGAGGCCCTGCTCCGGGCGGCGCGGCGGCGGCCCGGGCGCGGCGGCGCGGGCGCGGGCCTGCCGCCGCGGCGCGCGGCGGGCGCCGGGGGCGGGGCGGAGAGCGGCGCGGCCACCGCCGCGGAGCCCCGAGCTCCTTCCGTCTCCTCCTCCTCCTCCTCCTCCTCCTCCTCCTCCTCCTCCTCCTCCCTCCTCCTCCTCCTCCTCCTCCTCCTCCTCCTCCTCCCTCCTCCTCCTCCTCCTCCCCCCTCCTCCTCCTCCTCATCCTCTCCACCTCCTCCTCCCTCCTCCACCTCCTCCCTCCCTCCTCCTTCCCTCCTCCTCCCTCCTCCTCCTGCCTCCTCCTCCTCCTCCACCTCCTCCTCCTCGAGTCATGAAAAATTCACGACGGGAGGTTTTTCTATGCTTTCGGCCTCCGGGGGCCCTTATACTGGCCCTCGGGAGCGTCAAAAAACGACTCGGGGTGAAAAGCCGGTCCCATCGAATGGGTCCGGACCTCCTGGGGGTCGCGTCATGGAAAAATCATGACGTCGGGGATCTGGGTCCGACGCCCCCGAATAAAGTGGGAGCGGCGGGCTGTGTGTGCAGTCCCCAGAGATCCGACGTCGTGGTTGTTTTCCATGCGGGGTCCCCGGAAGTCTCGGCCCCTTCCCCAGGAGCGGCTGTTCATCCTGAGTCGTTCTTTGACGGTCCCGAGGCCCGGCGAGGGCCCCTGGGGGTCAAAATCTGCGAAAAACCTCCGTCTTGAGTTTTTCAATACTTTGGATCTCTGGGTCTTCGGCCTCCATATAGGGGCCCTCGTCGGGCCTCGGGAGAGCGTCAAAGAGCGGCTCGGGGCGAAAAGATGGTCCCGGGGAAGTGGTGACCAGCAGCACACCGTGGACCCCGACGGCGCAGCGGCGACGGCCTCGAGCGGAGCTTCTGAGAGCAGAGGCTGCCGCCAAGCCGAGCGCCCAGTCAGTCGGCTGACTGTCAACAAATTGCGGGGAACAGTTATTTGGGTCCAGGCACGAAAAAATTGGAGCAGCCGGGTGTCTGGGCGGGGGGGGTGCGGCAGGCAACGGCCGCGAAGTTTGCGCATGCGCCGCAGCCGCAGCCGCCGCTCGCGGCGCAGCTGCCCGCCCCGCCCCACGGGCACGCCGAAGGTCTGTAGGCCTCTGCAGAGGGGGTCGGAGCAGGTGTGGGGTCGGAGGATCGCGCCGCATCGCCGCTGCACCGACGCACCGCGTCACCGATGCAGCGCCGATGTTGGCGATGCATCGCCGTTGCACTGTCGATGCATCGCCGATGTCGCCGAAGTATCGGCGATGCGGCGGGATCCTCCGACCCCATCCACTCCGACTCCATCTAGGAGGCCTCCAGAAGGGCCCGGGGGGAGGCTGCAGCGAGTGCTGCCGCCTGGCCAGGTGAGCGCGACGCACAGAAAAGGGCGTGTTTTTTTCGCCGACATGGGCGCGTGAGCTGCCCGCGGAAGGTCGGTCGCGCGTGAGCGCCCTCGCTTCGGATGCGGCGTGCCGCGCAGGCGGCCCGCGTCAGCCAGCGCGCAAGGTCGCTATGCCATCTCGCGCAGTACCCGTTTCTGAGCTTCGCGCAGGTGAGCGCGCGTCAGGCAAGGATCTTCTCCGAGAGGGGCGGCTTCAGCGGCTCGCCCTGGAGAGCCGAGGAGTGGCTGCTGATGCGGCGGCGCGCACTGCAGAGTGGGCGCACGGACGAGCTCGTGCCTCTGCTGGAAGCGGTGCGGGCGTCCACGGAGAAGGCAATCCGAGATGGCTCGTACGAGGCGGGCGAGACAGCGGGGCGCCTTTCGCAAAGCGCACGAGTTGACCTGTCTGCGATCTCCAGCGCGAACCCTCACGTTGCCTGGCGCAGGAGGGAGACCCTGTCGGCGAGGCCACCGCCGCCACAGCTCGGCAGGCAGGCCCCGCGCCTGCAGATCGGCAGCGAGTCCGTCCTGGACACCGCGATCCGCCTCCGCCGGGCGGGCGTGGAGTCGCCGATAGTGGTGGTGGCAGAGGTTCGGCACGAACGAAATGGGTACGCCGTACCCATTTCGTCATACCCATTTCGTCATCACCGACGCTGGGGTCGGCGCAACAACGCTCGGACGGAACATTTAAAAAACACAAAAGCACAAAAGCCACACACAGACTCACAAAAAAGACTTAAATTAAGGCTCTGACTTTGCACACCTAAGTACGGAAAGAATGCGTACACTGCCCAATAGCGGTCCCTCTTCATTTACGTCTTCGATCGTGGACCCTCCCGGCCTCGTTCTGAGGCTGCGCCCCCCTTTCCCTCCCCCCTCTCTGTCTAATTCGAGCTTCGCGCGGCCCGCTTAGCTTCAACCGGGAGAGGTGCGCTCTCGACCCGCAGATCAAAAACGTGTTCGATCATGGGCCCCTGGTTGACGCGAAATATCTTGCTTTCCCGCCGATGACCGCCGAGACCGCCGAAAACCGTGTCGGGCCGCCGCCCAGACCGCCGAGGATCGCCGAAAGACCACCGACAACCCTCGAAGACCGCCGAGCGACCGCAGAAGACCGCCGAGAGACCGCCGAGGACCTCCGACAGACCGCCGAACGACCGCCGAACGACCGCCGAACGACCGCCGAACGACCGCCGAAAACCGCCGGAAGACCGCCGAACGACCGCCGAAGACTGCGCACGGGCCCCAGCGCCCGTGGCGGGGGGCGCGCCCGCGGGCAGTGTTCGGCGGTCGCTCGGCTGTCTGCAGGGGCCAAAGATGCTCAGGAGGAGAAAAAGCACACAGACACGATTGATCGTCGATTCCCCAGAAAGTATGGGAAAATATGGGATGTGGGGGGGGGGGAAGACAGAGTCCCAGGAAATATCGGAGAATATGGGGACTATTTTTGTTTGTGTGTATTTATTTGTGTGTCCTGGGGCCCCTTCAAAGATGCGTGGCGAGGGGTCCATGGTCGAACACGTAACTTCATGTCGAGCTGGATTTCGCCGTCGGTGTCGCCGCGGCCTGTGTCCACTCGAGACAGAAGGCCGCCTGCCCAACAGCAGTCTCTGTTCATTTTGAACAGGACTCGCTGTCCGCGCCGCCGCGGCCTGTGTCCATTCGAGACAGAAGGCCGCTTGCCCAACAGCGGCCGCTGTTGGTTTGGGGCAACATTTGTTGTTGGGCATTGCGCCCATTTTATTCCGTACCCATTTCGGGCCCCCGAAGAGGTCCAGGCCTTCGCGGGCGACGGCTCCATCGACACGCGCACGGCCCAGGCCGTCTCCCCGGGGGATCTGCTGCTTCGTTCCGATTTCGGCCGCTTCGTGGGCGCCCTGCGCAGGCAGTGCAGCTCCCACCGGGACGGCCGCCTGCCCAACAGGTTGGGCGTTGCGTAATGGAGGGGTCATAAATGGGTGGGTGTCGCGGGTGGTCCGAAAAGGTACCCAAACGGTACCTAAACGAGCCCCCTGGGGCTCCAGAGGGGCCCGAAAGGGGCACGAAAGGGGACCGTTTCTGACCCCCCCATTTATGACCCCCCCATTAAGCCACGCCCAAACAGGCTGCCCAGCAGGGCAGACGCACCCCTGGGCGCCCTCTGCAATGTCTGGGCGCTGGCGTCGACCCTGGGCGCGCCGGCGCGCGGGGAGGAGGCGAACCTGCGGGGCGAGCTCGCGGCGCCCAGGGGCCCGAGCATCGTCGCCTGCCAGCAGGTCACCGTCTTCCGCGGCCCCGCGGAGGACGGCTACCCCTTCCTGCGGGAGCCCGTGCACGTGACGGTGCTCGTGACTGCCTTCCCGTGCGGCCCGCAGGCGCACACCCTGTCGTCCGCGGGCTCCCACAGCGAGTGGCACTCGGGAGGGAGAGAGAGAGGATAGCACAGACACGCATGGAGCAGCTGATTCCCGGGGCCAGGTGTGAGAACGCTGGGCGTGGACATGTAGGGGAATAGAGAGCACCCCTGAGATAGGGACAGGTCTGGGGAATCCGGGGACGTGTGCCGATTCACTGGTGCCCCCACATATCGGCACGAACGGGATGGGTACGGAAAGAATGGGTACAATGCCCAACAGCAGTTCCTGTTCATTTTGAACAGGACTCGCTGTCCGGGCCGCCGCGGCCTGTGTCCACTCGAGACAGAAGGCCGCCTGCCCAACAGCGGCCGCTGTTGGTCTGGGACAACGCTTGTTGTTGGGCATTGCACACATTTTTTCCGTCCCCATTTCGGGCGTCCAAAATATACGCCCCTTCAGGTACGCCGTGTGCGACGAGCGCGACGCGGTCGTCGAGCGCCTGGAGCTCCTGGCAGAGCTCGCCCGGCGCGAGCCGCCCGCTGGGGGGCACGCGGGCGAGGGCCCCCCGCTGCTCCTGCTCTGCCCGCCCGGCTGCGGTGCGCCGCGCCGGCAGCCGCGGCACGCGCTGGCCTACGCGCTGAAGGCGTGCAGCATCGCGCCACGACGAGCTGTCAGCCTCAAGCAGTGGCGGAGCGCCCCGGCTCGCCTATAGCCCCACCAAACCATGTTCTAAGAACCTTTTTCGACTAGACGTAAGTAAGAGTGACCTTTCGCCGGAGTGACCTTTGGTGCGGGCACAGATGGGTCCCCAGATGGCTGAAAACGAAGCGGTAGCAGCGGCTTGCGCGCCCAGGTTTGGTCCCCCCGCGGCCCCCAAAAAGTCGCGCACCAAAGGTCACTCTTACCCAGGGTCACTCTTGCGTATAGCCGACTTTTGTGGTATGCACGAATTGTTCTGAGAACATTTCTGGTTGGGACTGTCCTGTTTTAACACATCGGCTGTATGTTCTAAGCACATATTGTTTTGTTATTAGGACATTTTGGGGTTCTGAGAACATTTCGTGGTAGGACTATAGGAATGCCAGGACGGTCGGTCCCTGCTCAACAACCAAGCTTGCAGGAGAGTGTTTTTGTTACCCCCTGGGCCCCAACGCGCGTTCTGCCCCCTCCCCCCCGCCCCCTTCTCTTCCCCACAACGTAGCATTCCCCCCCTCAGTGCGTCCCCGGCACTGCCGCATAGTGCGTCCGGCACCATACTCTTGGGGGGCGGGGCGCTACGTTATTATGCTCCTTCCCGTCCCCCCCCCCTCCCCCCACTGAGCGCCCAACATGGCCCCGAAAGAAGTTGGCTCCAGGCTCGGCCCTTTGCCTTTCTCTGTGCACTTCGCCCTTGGCTCTGGCCTCCGCTGTGGCTGCGGCCGTGAGCTGCTCTCGGGCGCGCCCGCCCGAGCCGCCTTGCCGCTCGCACGGGTGCCCCCCCCCTCCCCCCGAAAGGCGTGGCGGCTGCGCTACGGGGGGTGCTTCGGCGCCGTGCACCTGTGCTGCAGGGACTCCCGCGGGCCCCTGGAGGAGCTGGCCGGCCTCCTGCGCTCGGTGATCAACGAGGCGGCCGGCCCGGGGGGCCCGCAGCCCCACCTGGTGAGGGTCGCCGCTCCTCCTCCCTCTCCCCCTCCTGCTGCTGCTGCAGCTGCTGCTGCTCCTCCTCTCGCCGCTGCTCCTGCTGCTCTTGCCCCCCCCGCTGGTCCTGCAGCTCGCAGCTCCTGCTCCCCTCCCCCCCCTCCCATCCGCCTCCCGCTGTCGCGTTCTCCTCCCGGTCTCTCCGTCCGCCCCGGCATCCTCCTCCTCCTTTCCTCCCCCCTCCCTCTCCCCCCTCCCTCCCTTCCCAGAGCCCCTCCCTCCCTTCTACCTTACAGTTGCCCTGTTCTTGCTCCTCTCTCCCTCCTGCTCCTCCCACCTTCCTGTTTCCAGCTCCCCTGCCCAAGGGAGGGATAAGCCACCCCGACCCCCCCCAGAGCTGGCGTTTACTGCCAAGGGGCCTGGCCGTTTGCGGGACGGCCCCGTCCTGCTCGCTCCCGGTGCGTCTGCTGGACGGCTTCGCTGATCGGCCTGCTCCTCTGCGGGTGGTGCTCCTGCTCCCGGCTTGCTTGCGCGCTGGCGCGCGCCTGGGCGGAGCGAGAGCGGCACGGTCGCGCGTCGACGGCCGCGCTCTGGTGCCGCCCGCCCGCCGGCCGGCCGCGAGGGCCCTCGGCAGTTCACCCCCGGGGGCAGCGGCCGCAGAGGGCGCAGGTCTCCGATGTGGTGGCCCGCGCAGCCGCCCGGCCCGCCCGTGGGCGCGGCCCGCCGAGGCGCGGGCGATTCGAGGCACGAGCGATGGAGGGACACGGAGGGGGAGAGAGGGAGAGAGAGAGAGAGGGAAACCAACAAAAGAACAGGGCCGGGGGGTGGGGAAAGATGAATAGAAAGAGAGAGAGAGAACATAAATGCGAGAGATAGCGTAAGAGATGTTTAGGGCCGAGAGAAAGAGAGAGGAACAGAGAAATAGAGAGAAAGAGAGAGAAAGAGAAAGAGAAAGAGAAAGAGAAAGAGAAAGAGAAAGAGAGAGGAGGAGAGGTTGCACCGGCTGAGCTCGCACGGGTTCTGACGGAGCCCAGCTTCACGGCGGTGCTGTCCACACCCTGGCCTCGCAGCCTCATGGCGCTCACGCCCGCCATCGCGCCGCGCGTCCTCTCGCAGCGTTGGCAGCCTGCTGCTCGAGCAGCAGGTGGGAGCATGGGCGCACGAGCTGCTCATGAGCCGCGCGGCAGCTGCACTCGTCGAGTCGTCCTCCGATGGGCCGCCGCCTCCTCCTCGGAGGCAGAGAGAGAGAGAAGGAGTGCAGGGCGGGCGGCTGAGGATCGGAGGGGAGGGCCTCCCCTGCGCCTCGCATTCCCCTCCTCCTCCTCCTCCTCCGCCTCCTCCTCCTCCTCCTCCTCCTCCTCCTCCTCCTCCTCCTCCTCCTCCCCTCCTCCCCCTCCTCCCCCTCCTCCCCCTCTCCTCCTCCTCCTCCTCCTCCTCGTCCTCCTCCTCCTCCTCCTCCTCCTCCTCCTCCTCCTCCTCCTCCTCCTCCTCCTCCTCCTCCTCCTCCTCCCTCCCCCCCTCCCCCTCCCCCCTCCTCCCTTCTCCTCCTCCTCCTCCTCCTCCTCCTCCTCCTCCTCCTCCCTCCTCCTCCGCCTCCTCCTCCTCCTCCTCCTCCTCCTCCTCCTCCTCCTCCGCCTCCTCCTCCTCCTCCTCCTCCTCCTCCTCCTCCTCCTCCTCCTCCTGAGAGCTCCGCGAGGCCTCCAAGACGATCCCAGACGCCCCAAGATGGCCGCGGCGGCGACGACGACGACCACCTCCCGAGGAGCCCGCCCACAGCCCGGTGGTCGATGCCGCGCGGGGCGTCGAGCCCGACGACCTGGAGGCGGCCTTCGCGGATGTCAGGCGCGCGGGGCTCGCGAGCCTGCGGCGGAGGGCTTCGGAGGGCGCCAATTGTGCACCGATCCCAGGCCCAGGATTGCGGGCAAGACTTGTGTCCAGATCCAGTACAGTCGGGGCGTTGACCTAAGGAACCCTAAATAAGGAACCGGCCCCTTTTTTCCATAAGTTAACCTTCGATTTCCTGTCGACAACATAAGGAAAGCCTGAGGCAAGCTGTGAAACACTTAAGGGACACGGAGCCCCTCCCGAACGAAAAGGGTTCCGTGTCCAGCGCCCCGACGACTGTACCGCTTGGAGTTTCGGGCTCCATGCTCTAATTAGGAACCCGAGGCGCACTGGATGCGGAGGAAGGCGTGGCCCCTGGCGGCTCGACTTTTATCCATATCCAGTGCGCCCCGGCCTTGCAGCGCCCCTTCAAAGAAATACCAAGTCGCACTTGATCGGAGGTTGGGGGGGTGAGATCGCAGTGAAACGGAGACCCCCCACCGGGAAATCGGTTTCGGTTTCGTGTTCGTGTCGTGCGTGCGGGCGAGGCGGAGTTGCGCGTGATCCTCCTGTAGTTAGTTAGGCCGAAGTAGGAGCGAAAGTCCGTTCCCGTCCGCCGGTGGCTGGGAGGTGTCCCAGTTGGGCCGGGCGGTGTCCCGGGTGTCCCGGGTGTCAGTAGGAGCGAAAGTCCGTTTCCCGTCCTCCGGTGGCCGGGTGGTGTCCCAGTTGGGCCGGGCGGTGTCCCGGGTGTCCCAGGTGTCCATCCAATCCATCTTGTCCAATCCAATCCATCTTATCTTATCCAACCCATTTTGTCCCATTTTATCTCATCCCACCCAATCCAATCCACCCAACCCAATCCATCAATTCATTTGTTTCTGCTCCTGCGGCGGGCCAATCTAATCCATCTTATATTTTCCAATACATTTCTTCCAATCCAACCCATCTTATCTGATCCAATCCATATTATCCGATCCAATCCAATCCACCCAGCCCAATCCATCAATTCATTTTTGTCGGCGCTAGGGCGTGATCGCGGCAGAGTGCGGGGCTCGAGCGTTCGGCGCCAGTGCCTTCCGGATGCCGAGAGGGAGACTCTGATAGAGGGAGAGAGAGGGCGAGAGAGAGAGAGAGGGAGAGAGACAGAGAGAGAGAGAGAGACAGAGAGAAAGAGAGTGATGATATCAAGGTGACAGGCTGGAGGTCAGTCAGGGTGGGCATTCGATTCCAATCCCCCCCAACCTCCTTATGGCCCACATGGCGGTCGTACAGGTATGAATATATAACTAACTACTGCCCGCGAGGATGGGCCTGGCCTGGATCGCTGCAGGCGCACACGGTCGGCAACTCGCGGTTGGCGCGTCGCGTGGCCAGTTCGGGCCCCTCTCGCCTCGGAGCAAGACTCCTCCCTCCCATCCTCCTCCTCCTCCTCTCCTCCTCCTCCTCCTCCTCCACGACCTCCTCCTCCCACGACCTCCTCCTCCTCCTCCTCCTCCTCCTCCTCCTCCTCCTCCTCCTCCTCCTCCTCCTCCTCCTCCTCCTCCTCCTCCTCCTCCTCCCTCCTCCCACGACCCAGCGCCCCGAGCGGCAGTATCCCGGGCCTTTCTCCCAGCACCCCGCGTGGCGGAGCGACGCGCCGCCCGCCCGCAAGGCCCGCGCGTCGCAGGGGCCGCCGCCGCGGGAGGCCGAGCAGACGTTCCCGGCCGCAGTTGGCGCCCTCCTGGGTGTGGCGTCCTCGTCCTCGTCCTCGTCCTCCTCCTCGTCCTCCTCCTCCTCCTCCTCCTCGTCCTCGTCCTCGTCGTCCTCCTCGTCCTCGTCCACGTCCTCGTCGTCGTCGTCGTCCCCCGCAGGCCTCCACGGAGGCCCGGGCGTCGCAGCTCTTGTTCGCAGCGGGCGGGCGTGGTCGCCCAGCCTCCGGCCCCGGCGACCTCTCGCGGAGTGATCCGGGCCGAGGCTTCTGTCGGGCGTGCCCCCCTACAGGGGGATATTCGACGAAAAATATGCAATATCCCAAAAATACTCCCAAGAGTTAAAGGATAAGCAGAAAATAATCCCCGGACTATTTTTGGATTCTGTTTTTGGTGATTTTGGGGGCATCTTCTACGTTTCGTCAAAAATCCCCTCTGTAGGAGGACAGGCCCGACTTAAGCCTAGGCACGCCAGAGAGGGGTCGGGCCCCCCAGCCCCTCGTTGGAGGGTTTTCCCGAAGGGCTTGGGCGACCCGTCCTCCGCCTCCTCCCCCTCCTCCTCCTGCTCCTCCCCCTCCTCCTTCTCCTCCTCCTCCTCCTCCTCCTCCTCCTCCTTCTCCCCCTCCTCCATCTCCTCCTCCCCAACTCCGCCTCCTCCATCTCCTCCCCCCCCTCCCCCTCATCCACCTCCTCCTCCTCCTCTTCCACCTCCCTCCACGGGTCGCCTACGGCCCCCGGGGAAACCGTGCAGTCAGCCCAAGAGGTAGGTGACTGGAAAAGAGTGCTGACCGAAAGCATGCCCGAAAATGTTACCGAAGGCGTCGTGTGATCCGACCTTGCTACCGACCTGCACCTCGCTGTCGTTTCGAACCGCGAAGTTCGGTCGCACAATGGCGCGTTCGGAACATTTGGCGCCAGGTTCGGTCAGCCTCGTGCCAATGTCTGGGCACACTTTCGGTCATGACATCCCCCTGGTAGAGACGGGGCTGCGTGGCAATTTATGTGCTTGTTCCGCGGCGTCCTCCTCCTCCTCCTCCTCCTCCTCCTTTTTCTGAGCAAGCCGCTGGGCGCGCCACCCGCCTCCTCCTCCTCCTCCTCCTCCTCCTCCTCATCCTCCTCCTTCCTATTTCAGGGTCCGACGACGTCGAACGGAGTCTCCCGATCTTTGGTAGGTGTTGTTCATTCTGGGCCTCCAGGGACACGCGGGCACTTCCAGGGACCGCAAGGCCCTTCTAGATCCACGCCTCTACTCGAAAACAGCGTGCAGAATGGCTCCCGGCACGTCCCAGACTCCAGGGGCTACACATTATTCATGCTTGATTCGTCGAAAGTTCTTTGGTTTTTGCTGGGGGCCAAGAATCCTTCATTTCTAATTGTTCTATCCTGGGCCTCTTCCTGGCCACTAGGGGGCCAGTAGCAATTAGAAACGAGCATACTTAGAAATGAGCACGATTAGAATGAACGACGTGTACTCGAAAACAGCGTGCAGGAGGCTCCCCGCACGTTTCGGACTCCCAGGATTGCGTCGGAGCCCCAGGAAAGTCAAAGCATGACAAAAGAGATGACAACAGATGCCCCAGAGAAGGAGTCCCGAGAGTTCCCCAGGCCAGCGGCCAACGACTCGAAACAGATTCAGTAGTCGAAGTTTGGGGGAGGGGAGGGGAGGGAAGGAGGCGGGTGCGGGGGCGGAGGAGGGGGAGGCATTGTGGGAAGTATCAGGCTGACACGTGCTAGGCCCAATTCCTGGAGAGCAGCTCGACAATGTCGGGATGGAGTATCTCCGGTCAAGATCTCTGCCTCGATATGTTGGCAGCACAGCTCGGCACAGCTCGACCGTTTTGTCCACGGTGTTCTGGGCCTCCACGCGTCTTTTGGCGATATCCTCTGCACCCTCCTGCGGTGAGCACCTGCTCCGAAGCTCGTGCCAGCCGTCCAAGCGCGCTTGGGACTCCGGCTGGTTATGGCTAGCTACACATCGCAGGCTGTGGAGGAGGAGGAGGAGGAGGAGGAGGAGGAGGAGGGAGGGAGAAGGAGGAGAGAGAGAGGAGGAGGAGAGAGGAGGCTGGCAGGAGGAGGAGGGGCGGAGAAGGAGGAGGGGGAGGGAGGAGGGAGAAGAGGGGGGAGAGGAAGGGTGGAGGAGGAGGAGGGGGAGGAGGAGTCCTGGGTCGTGGGCGAGTGGCCTCTTCGAGGTCTCTTCGGAGCGCTTTGAAGAGGCTTACTGGCGTCCTCTTGAGGCGAGCGTTTCAGGGGCAACTTTGGACTTCTTGCCATCTTGACGGCCTCGCTGTCTCGGTGAGAACTTCGAGGGATGAGGGCTCTCAGAGCCCCTTCTTCGAGTTCCCCCTCCTGGGCCTCGCTTGGGTGCCATCTTAGGCGTCTCTCGGGGTCTCGGGGGCCGTCTTAGAGCGGTCTCGGAGGCGTTGTCAATAGTCTTAGGCCGTTTTTGACGCTCTGATGTTTGCAGACCGCAGAGGCGAGAATGGTCGATCAAACCAATCCTACAAGCACCGAGCCATGTTGTGGTTTAGTCATCTTGTGATGGCCCCCAGGACCTCCAAGACGGCCTACGAGACCCCTTATCAGAAAAATCTATTCTGACGAGAGCCCTTTCCTATCGTGATTCTTTGCGCCGTGCCGTATTTTCCGTCCGCGCTTTGCCTCCCAATCAGATGTGCGGTGGTCTGCCAGCCGAATGCAGGCCTTAAGATGTCCAGAAGGAGTGCCCTAAGACGAACCCCTGGGGCGACCTCAGGCCATGCTGGAGGTTGGGATTCCGAGGTCCACTCTCGAGGCCTCTGGAAAAGTCATGCTGGAAACCGCGGAAGCTCCCTCCCGCGAGTATTCGAACACCGAGGGTCGTTGACCCGGAATGTAGCTGCAATGCTCACGATTGAGCATTCACGGGGAACTGAGCGCCTTCCACCGAGTGCTTACGGCACCGTGGCAGGCTTGCGGCAGTGTCAAGACAATGGTCGGAGACGTAGCCGAAGTCCGTCTTGGGTTCCCTTGAGCCGCTCCTTGGCCACGTCATTGTGCGGGCCAACTCCTTCAGGCTCCGTGTCGAGTAAATTCCTTCGGAATTGTTGACCCTTCGCGCATCCCCACCAGCCCATCCAGAAACAATGCCCAGGAGAGTTGAGGAAAGTGGGGGAGCATGCAGAAGAACAAAGGGCGGGGGAAGCCGTCCGATACCGCAAGATGTGGAGGATGGTGGAGAAGAAGGAGGAGGAGGGGAAGGAGGAGGAGGAGAAGGAGGAGGAGGAGGAAGGAGGAAGAGACAGTTGACAAGGAGGAGGAGGAGGAGGAGGAGCAGGAGGAGGAGGAGAAGGAGGAGGAGGAGGAGGAGGAGGAGAAGGGGCAGCTTGGCGAGCCCAGGGCCGTCTTTGAGCGTCTTGGGTGCCTCGGGCATCCTCTTGAGGCCTGTTGGGGGTTTCTTGGTAGCTTCTTGGAGGCTTCCTGGACGCCTCTTTGGGCCGTCTGGGCGCCTCTTGGGGCAGTATTGGGGCGCTCTTGGGAGCCCTAGGAGCGCTCGTGGGGTCATCTTGGAGGAGCTCGATCAAAGAAGAGGGGGTCCCAAATTCGCCCCCCCCCCCCCTCCCCTCCCCCCCTTGGGAGCTCCAAACGTCGCCTCTTGGGTCGCTCTTGGAGCGCTCTTGGGGCCGTGTTGGGGCTCTCTTGGGCTTTTCCTGGGGCCCTCTTGGGCCATCTGAAAGCCTCGGACGACCATCGGAAGCGAAAAGGCGAGAAAGCAAAACACCTGGATGTTCCCAATGTTGTGGCAGGACTCGGCTTCGTGGAGGCCTCCTTGGAGGTGTCTCGGAGGCGTCTTGGAGCCACCTCTAAGCGTTCTTGCGGCCTCTTGGAGCATCCTGGGGGCCGGCCTGAGGCATCTTGGGCTATCTTGGGCCATCTTGGAAGTCATCTTGGGCGCTTTGAGGCCCGCTTGGAGCCATTTCGGGCGAGCACGCGCCTCGTCCACAGGTCCAGGGGAGGGGGGTAGGGGGGAGGGGTAAACCCGTCCCCGAATGGGAAGAAAGGGGCAGGAAGAGGAAACTCCCAAGGCCACCTACGCCCAGAGGGCTAGTGGGATTTTGCGGGCCGCCGCGGACTCCACGGTGGCATTCTTCATCACCATGTCGCACTTGTGTCCGCTCGGTCCCTCTTGGGGATGGAATTCCTCGATCATTCTCTTGAAGCGTTGTGCTGCTCCTCGATGTCGGCATGTTCTTCACCTGGATGTTTGTCGCCCCCATACGGTGTAGCTCTCTGAGGCGCGTAACGTGCACGGCCCGATTCCGGCAGCCTCGTGGAACGAGGCACTTTTCTCCTCGCTCCGCAGTCTTGCCATGGCCTAGCTGGGACGGCGGCTGCCGCATCGGCTGCATCTGTGCGCCGTGACCGCATCCCGTGTCAGGGCCAAGTTGGGCCCCGGCAGCTGGGTGCTTCGGACGCAACTCCTGGGCTGAATCTTGGCATCGCTCGGACGTGTGCCTTTTCCCTTCGGCGAGGACCATCGAGGAGCAGCCTTGCTCATTTGGCGAAAAAGCCACGCACGACACCGAACAACAACACAGAGACTGGACGTCCGAGCGATGGCGAGTGATCCTCCACCCTTCCGGCGACGACCTCCCAGCGGTGGCCTCCCGAGGGTGCGCGCCTCCCTCCGCGGCGCCTCGTCCGCTTCTGGGGGGCGTCCGCCCGTTGGCCGACCTCGAGGCCCCTATGCTGCCTCCGCCGCGCGCGCACCGCGCGGTGAGCTCCCCTCCCCCGCCGCGCCCTCTCGAGCGGCAGGCGCCGCAGGAGCGGCCACCGGCAGTTCCGCGGGCAGCGCGCACGCAGCGGAAGCCGAGGATGCGGTGGGGGCGTGCGTGCTGGAGTGTGCCCTAAGAGGCCGCAGACCCTGGGGGATTCCTCTTCCGAGGGGGGGGGGGGGCGGCGGTGATGTCCATGGCCGATCCACGATGGGGGTTCCACTGGCTTCCAGACCCTGGATTCCTTGTCAAGGGTTCCTCGCCCAATGCCCCCCACCGTGAGGATGGGTGTAGCCTTCCCAAGGGTACTCCTGGGTTTCTTAACAAGCGTGGGGGGCTACCCCCCCGACGGGGGTCAGCCTTGCCTTGTCGTCGCGCCGCGATGGGGTTTGGAGCGCCTTCGGCGCGCGGTGGCTGCCCGCGACGGTGGTCGATGTGGGGCTGCCGGCGGGGGTGACGCCCCCCCGACGCTTGTCCAGAAACTCGGAGTGCCCTTGCATCCTTGCCTCCTCGGCCCATCCTTCACCGTCGACGGCCAGTCCCGCTCCAAGAGCCTCGACACGGGGCGCACGAGGGGCCGGCGTCCTCCCCGAGCGTCCCTGCTCCGTGGGCGCCCTGGCGGCTCCCTGCCTGCGCCCCTGCGCTTCTCCGCGGCCTGCCCCTCTTCGCGCCGCAGCTCGGGCAGCTCGGGTGCCGTCCTGGGCGGTGCCCGTGGCCCCCGCGCCGCGGCGGCGGTGCACGGCGGCGTGCCGGCGGCGGCTCTGCCCAAGGGCCAGCGCCGGTGCCGCGTCGCGCCCGGGAGGCGGCAGGCCGCCTGAGCGGTGCTTGTTCGAGGTGTCCGTCCTGGCTTGGATTTGCAGGGCTTTTGCAAGGCCTGACTGACCCAGGTCTGGATTGACCCGGGTCAGAAGATCCCGATTGCGATAGGTCACGGGGCGTTTGAGCCCCTGGGCCAGCTGCCCCCGCGGAAGGGGTTCTGGCCGAGTGGGCCATGGTGTCCGCGGGTTGCGGCGGCCCCAGCGGCAGCAGGGCGGAGGAAGGCGAGGCGGAAGAGGAGGAGCAGAAGGAGGAGAACTTCCCCGTCCCCCCGCCCCCCCCCCCTTCCCTTCCCGAGCTCCACCCTTGTCCCCTCCCGCCCCCCCCCCACCCCTCCCTCCCGCCCCCTCTCCCCACATTTGCGGTCGGGCGATCGCTCTCATGCCGCCAGGCATCGGGCTGGTCGCATTCGCGATTGGCGCGGATACGCAAGAGCTGGAGGTGGAGAAGGAGGAGGAAGGAGCAGGGGGATCAGAGCAGAGAGGGAGAAGGGGGAGGACAGGAGGAAGAAGAGGAGTGGTGAGGATAAGTAGGTGGTTGTGGAGGAGGGATGAGGCTGAGAAGGAGGAGGAGGAGGTGCTTGGGTAGAGGGGCTGTCGTGCATTGTTTGCGGATACCGTGTTCGGCGAGCAAGGGCATCCGATGCTGTAGGTTGCCGCACGCCGTTCCCATTCCATCTGCTAGGTGGTGAAGCAGTACTGTTTTGAAGCCTTACCCTCGGCTGGGGGGCATTGGATGGCCGCGTCCGAAATTGCAAGAGGTGGAGAGGAGAGACGCTGAATCTGCAGCACTGCGTGAGCGGTCGCCTTGTTCACGCGTTCCTTGGCGTCGGGGGTCAGCAGGAGATTCAGAGTTCGAGCCACCCGGTTGGCAGGCGCGACCTCCCGAGTGAAGACGTTGCCGCCAGCATAGACGCGATCATTGCCCTGCAGCGCACGAGGAAGGAGGCGCGCCACCAGGCGCGCCGCTCCCTTTTGCTGGCGCAGCCTCTGCCAGGGGGGGGGGGAAGGTTGAAGGTGGGCGGTCCCAAGCGTTGCAGCTCGGGTGTTGTTCTGACTCAGCTGGCTCGTCTGCGCCGCCGACCTGCTGTGACTCAGAGGAGGAAGAGGTACCTGCCCTGCACCTCTGCCCGTCCCTCGTTTTCCCTACTCTTTTGGTCTCCCGGGCGGCCCTCGTCGCCACCGCTGGATTCCTTCGAGATCTTGGTCACAACGCACCCCGGGAGAGGTCCGGGGAGCAGCGGCATCGGCACCTTTCGGTCTCCCCGATGGCCGTCCAATTTGCCAACGACTTCTTTTTGCGTGATGGTGCGGCCCCCTCTTTGGAGGGTGCTGCCTGTTTCTTGACTCCTGTTCGGCTCCTCTTGTGGGGGGGGGGCTCTGGCGTCAAGTCGGGCCTGTCCCTCTACAGGGGGAATATTCCAAAATAATTTCAAAAATAGTCTGGGGGCTATTCTTTGAGTATCTGTGGGCATGTTTGGGGCATTTTTTGAGTATGTTTTACTTTTCGCCCAAAAATCCCCCTGTATGGGGGACAGGCCCGACTTAACTCTGGCGCTGCTGGCGGCCTTGCGAGGCAGTGTGCGACCGTCCTGGCGCTCCTGGCTGGCTTTCCGTGCCGTCCTCGCAGCCTCCGGTGAGGGGAGCGAGGAGGGGCATGCACAGCTCGGCGGCGGGCGAGGGGGGAAGTGAGCTTCGGCGGCGAGCCACGGGGGGGTACCGACGGTCGTTGGTTCCCTGCTCCTCCTCCTCCTCCTCCTCCTCCTCCTCCTCCTCCCTCCTCCTCGCTCCTCGTCTCTCTTCTGAACCGAGTCGGCGGCGAGCGAGGAGGGGGAGCGAGAAGGAGAGGGCCTCCTCAGAAGGTTCGGAAGTCCCCCGGCCTGCTGGGACGTTTTCGGGGCCTTCCTCTAAGACGGAAGCAACAACTTCTGTTCCGAAGGCGTGAGGGCTTCGGAGAAGTCCCGCCGCCTTTCGAGAAGGCCTTCTCCTTCTAGCTTTCCCCCCTTCGCTCGCCGCCGAGTGTGGCGAAAGGGCCGCGGGGGGGGGATCCGAGGCTTGCAGAAACCCAACCAGGCAGCTCTTGCCATTCTGCCACGACTCAGCGTGCCAAGAACACGGCTGCTTATACCGCTTCAGCATCAACAGTTCATCACGTCAATATCGCAGAGCGGATATCTTTCGGAAAACGATAGGATCGGCCTGGAGTGTCCTGGAGAATGTCGTTCCCGATTTCGAGGTGAATTTAGTTTTTCACGCGCCGCTTCGGGCAGAAATCCACGCAGAAATCCGCTGCAGCACGTCTGCAAGGCCGGTGCAATGAAAAAGTCTTGAGCCTTTTTGGCGTTCCCGAAAGTTCTGAGTATGTTCATTGTGTTATCCGTAAGGGCCTCGCCCTCAGCCGCCGGCCCTCCTGGGAGGAGTCAACGTTGTGTTGGGACGTGCCGGCGCTGTTTTGGAAATTTCGTGGGACACCATGCTAGGACAAATGGCATTCAGCAAGCACCTTGAGATGTTGAAGTTGTTGTTGGACGCTTTGTGCCCGTCTCGTGGCGGGAAGCTGATGTAATCTACTACGGGTCCTCTCCTCGGGAGCACGAATTTGGCGTGACTTGCGACTGATTCTGGCCTCGGGGAGCGCGATGTTGGCGCAATGTACGGAGTTGTCTTGTTTCGGGGGCGCGACTTGCGAAGTAATTAAGCACGGGATTCAGATTTCGTGAGCGCGAGCCTGGCGTCATTTGCATGTGATGCGGGTTTCGGAGCGCGCTCTGGCGTAATTGACAGGGGTTCTAGCCTCGGGGGGCGCGAACCTGGCGTCATTTGCATGATTGCTGGCCTCTGGAGCGCGAGTCCGGTGCAACTGAGCTTGGCCTTGGAAGCGCGAATCTGGCGCAATCTGAAGAGGATTCTGGCCTCGGGAGCGTGCACTTCTGGTGTAATGTGCAAAGGATTCTGGCCTCGGGAGCGCGATTCAGGTGCAACTTGCGGGAATTCTGGCCGCGGGGACCCGAATCTTGATTCATCTTCGAGGGATTGTTTCCTCGGGGGCGCGCGTCCCACGCATTTGTAAGTGTCCCGGGCGCCCATCTGGAACTCAGGCAACGCGAGTCGGGCCCGGTGGCCAGGAGGGTATGCGCACCCCCTCCCCTCGCGCTGCCAGTAATGCACTAGGAGCAGGGAGCAGAAAGCAAGATTATCGCATTTGAACTTGGAAATTGGGATTAGCGCAGGACATAGGACTAAGCCGCACAGCCCGATGGCCCTACAACGGATGTGCTATACGGCATACGTCTTGAAGTTCGCGCCTATCTCTCCAATTTTTTCACCAGCTCCACTTCCAGATCCAAGTATTGCCTTTCCCAGGAGCCACATGCACCGTTTCAGTAGCGTCATTCCAACCCGTTTTCTCAATACGCGCACTTCTTTGTGACTCTCTCTCTCTCTCTGTTTCTGTCTCGCTCTTTCTACCTCTCTGACTCTGGCCCATTGCTTTTCACGGGACGCCCCCGCAGGACAGCCGCACAGGACAAGCATTGGGCCAACCGCGGGCCAACCACTTGGCATCGCTCGGACGTGTGCATTTTTCTTTCGGCGAGGACCATCGAGGAGCATCCTTGACCATTTGGCGAAACAAACAGAGGAAAGAAACAAAAAAAAAAAAAAAAAAAAAAAACAGGGAATGGACGTCCAAGCGATGGCGAGACCACGAGAGACAACCGCGGGACTCCCCCTCTCGGGGGGGGGGGGGGGCCGCCACGCGGGCGGGAGGGGCCCTTTGGCGAGCGCCTCCTCGCGGGAGCAGGGGAGGGCTCTCGCGTCGGCCCCGGAGGCCAGGCGACAGCGCCTCGGACCCCGGAGGCGGGTGAGGGCCAGCCGTGCCCACGAACGGGCTTCGCAGGCGGCGTTTCGCCCCCGACCTCCGAGGTGCCCCCGCAAATCAGGTCGCTCAGGGAAGAGGGGGAAGCCGGGGGTGCATCTTCAGCGGGCTGTTCGGGCGCACCCCTGTCGAGGATGGTCGCCCCCCGATCGCACGTCCCTGCAGTTCTGGGCCTGGTCGAAGGCTCCCCCCGGTCGAACATTTTGGGTGGCCATACCCTTCGTTTTGGCTCGCGACCGCTCGGGGGACGGGGGGTCGGGCGGGGCCGGGACGAGGCTGCATCCGTTCCAGAGCGCTTCGGAGCGCTCTCGGAGCGTTCCAGAACGCTCCGAGGAGGCCGCCGCGTCCGAGACATCGTCCAGAACCGCGGGATCTCACACATCCTCGATCCATCCCAACCCGATTTTTGACCCTCGTCCCGGCGTCGTGTTGCAGCCACGCGCAGAAGGGGGGTACAGTCGGGGCCCTGAAGAAAGAACCCTTTTCGTTTGGGAGGGGCTCCGCGTTCCTTCATTGTGTCGCAGCTTGCCTCAGGTTTTCCTGAGGTTTTCGATCTGCAATCGAAGTGTAACTCATGGACAAAAGGGGCCTCGTTCCTCATTTAGGGCTCCTTAGGGTCAAGGCCCCGAGTGTAGGGGGAGGGGGGAGGCTTCTTGGAAGCACCCCCGCTTCTCTGCAGCGGCGGGCCCTGTTTGTAGGCGTGAGAGCCGGCGCCGCCCAAGAAGCAGCCTCCGTCTGCGGAGCCCCTCCCCCCTCCCCCCCTCCCCCCCCTGCCTGCGCGCTGCCAAGTCTTCAGGGGGGGAAGAGAGAGAGGAGAGAGAGAGAGAGAGAGAGAAAAACAAAGAGAGAGAGAGAGGGAAAGAGAGAGAGAGAGAGAAACAAACAAAAAAAAACAAACAACAAAAAAAAAAAAAAAAAAAAAAAAACAACGCCCGCTTGGCTTCCCCCCCCGTGGGAGGGGCGCGGCGGCGCGCGGACCTCCGCGCGCGGCCCTCCTCGGCCGCCGCGTGGAGCCCGCGCGCCTGTGCCGCGGCGCCGAGTTCCGCGGGGGGGGGGGGGGGGGGGGGGGGGGCGCCTGCTCGGTCGGTGCTCGTCGGCCTCCGCCTCCTTTCGCGGGGGGCGGCAGAGACGGTCAGAGCCCCGAATCATCAGGGGTAACTCGGGTCAGGGATAACTCGGGTTCGTTTTTCGGGATTCCGAACCCGAGTTACCCCGGACCCGAGTTACCCCGGATATCTCGGGCGTCCAGAGCCCCGAATCATCAGGGGTAACTCGGGTCAGGGCTAACTCGGGTTCGTTTTTCGGGAACCCAAACCCGAGTTACCCCGGACCCGAGTTATCCCGGATGACCAGGGGATGGCGGGCACCATGGCGGGCAGTAGTTGTATCCACATCCGGTGCGTCTTGGATTCTTGGGCCCTCTTCCCCAGGAGCCGCAGGCGCACTTGACATGGATAAAGGATCTGGCCCCGAGAGGCCTGATTTTTTATCCGAGCCTGGTCTGAGCCATGCGAGGCGCCGCTGCTTCTCGGGGCCTGGCGACGCCAGGCGCAAAGGCGGAGCCCCTCGGGAGGAGGGCGCGGCGCCGGGCACGGAGGGGGATAGGAGCGGCGGGGCGGCGGGAGCGCGGGGGCGGCAGGGCGGGGGGGCAGAGAGGGGGGGGGGGGCAGAGAGGGGGGGGGGCAGAGACTGGGAAATGGTGGACACCATGGCGTGGCCCACGATATCTGCCACGGATCTCATGGCGCCTCTTCTTCTCACTGCGTCACGTCCCTGGCCCCCCCCCTTGGCCCTGGGGCCGCGCATCTGCCGCCTGGCCATGACTCGCACCACCACCCCTCTTGGACGCCCCCCCCTTGGCCGCCCCCGACCCTCGGCCTCCCTCCCCGTCTCGTGCCGTCCTTGGCGCGCTTTTGGCGCGTCGGCTTCCCCGCGCTCTGGCACGCCCCTGGCTGGTCCTGCCCACGCAACCCGAGGGGCGCCAGGCGGAGCGGTGGTGCTGGCTCGACCCTCTGGTACCAGTCGCACTGCCCAGCGACCCAGCAGCAGGTCCAGCCACGGGCGAGGCACGCGGGACCACCCGCGGGGGCCGCGCGCGACCCGAGCGGGACAGCCGCGGGGGGCAGCCACGGGACCGGTGCACGAGACAAGCACGCGGGGCAGCCGCAAGTACCGGACGCCCACAGGAGCAGCCGTGGGCCAACCAAAGGGGACGTCTTCGGGGGGTGGCCCAGGGCCCAGGGGTCTCCGCTCCAGCCACGGGCGGGGCGCGCGAGATCATCGGGCAGACTACCGTACAGAACAGGCCGGGCCTCTCTCGCCCTCGTGGAGCTTCGCCTGCACGCACGGCACGCACCGAGACCGTCATCGATCTCCTGGGGGGGGAGGGGCGCTCCGTCTCACTTCGACCTCACCTCCCCAAACTCCAATACCATGTTAATTCAAGTGTTCAGTTGGGCATGTCCCTCTACAGGAGGGAAATTCAAAAATAGTTTAAAAAATAGTCTGGGGACTAGTTGTTGAAAAGTTTTTGAGCATTTTGGGCGTATTTTTGGGTATTTTTATTTTTTCGCCCACAATCCCCATGTAGGGGGACATGCCCGATTTAATTCAAGTGGCGTAGGCCACTCCGCCGACCCCCAGAGGAGCGATGACTTGCGAGGGTCGTTGGTATCGTTATCTTGCGGCCGGAAGGACGGCTCGCCACCGTGCCTGGGCTGTGGGCCAGGAGACTCTTGGATGTGTCTCTTGGGACGAGTCTTGGGGGCATCTGTGGGACTCTGGGGGGCCCTCGTGGGGGCCTCGTGGGGGGTCCTCGGAGGCCTCGTGAGCTCCGGTTCCGTGTCAGTCACCGAGATCATATCGCAGCCGCTGGGCAGCCGCGCGGGGCAACCACGAGGCAGCAACGGGGCGACCGCAGGACAGACCGCGAGGCGCCGTCCACCTCTCGGAGTCGAACTTCTCCTGTCTAGCTTGCCGCTGGCTGCGGCTGGCGAGGCCCTCCTCACCCGTGCGCGCAGGTTCGCCTCGCCCACGCGCGCGACACGAACAGAAACCGGCTTCGGTTTCCAGGCTGGGGGCGCTCTGTGCCATTTCGGCCTCGCGGACCGGCCCCCCAAAGACACGTTCGGCAGGCAACGCCATGCTGAGCTAGCCGATGTTGCGCAATGCTCCGATGCCATAACATGCAGATCGGTGTTACGACACGCGTTGCGATGCTGTGCAACCACCATATGGCATCCGAGAAGGTTGCAGCTCGAGGCGGTGCACAACATGCCATTGCACATGCATGTATGCCTTCAGCAAACAACTACTCCGTGCGTCACGCCAGGCTACTGGGGCGTCGGCGTACGCAGCGAGACTGCTGCAATGGAGCTCGACTGGTGTTCTAGCATTGTTCAAGTAGAGGTTAGGTTTACCCCCCCCGTCAAAAACCGCCCATGGTGCCCTTGGTGGTCTGCCCAGGCATCTTCTGTCAGCTGCGAGCTGACAGGTCGGTCGAGTGGCTGAAAGCTTCGAGCTTTGCGGTCGACGCTCGAAAGCGAGAGAACTTTGCGGTTGACGCTCGGTCGGATGAGCTGCAGGCAGCGTGCTTCGGGAGGCTCCTGGGCTTCCTCCACGGCCACGCGACCTCTAGCGGGTTTCTAAGTGGTTCGCATGTGATGCCGAGGGGCCGTCCGACATACAGCCGAGAGCCGTGGTTTCCAGCTTCTCCCTGCAGTGGGAGAAGGGCAACTGCAGATCCACTTCGTCATTTCCCATACCCCCTTTTACACAGGAAGTGGGAAACGATCTGAGCAAGGGGAAACAATCAGAAGAGGAGGAGGAGGATGAGGAGGAGGAGGAGATGAATGACTCTTCGACTTCCGCCAATCTTGTCGAATCCAGTGCAAGTGGAGCAGCAAGTCGGCCGCCCCTGGCCGCCCGCTGGCGGCGGGAGGGGGGGGGGGGCGATGCAGTACACCCGCCCCGACGCCCTCTGCAGGGACGGCCCAGCGCGCCCCCCCGGGCATGAACCCCGCCACCCGCCCGTCCGGCCGCCCCGCCGCCGCCGCCGCCGCTGCACGAGTAAGTCGGGCCTGCCCCCCTACAGGGGGATTCTGGAGGAACAGTGTGAAAAATACGCAAAAAAAGTATGTCGAATAAATAATCGAAAAATTGTGCAAAATGGTGCAAAATACGCAAAACATGGAATAAATAATCGAAAAATGTAGATGCTCCAAAATGGTGCAGAATACGCAAAACATGCGTCGTCGTGGTGGGATCCCTCGTGAGGGGGGGACGCCGACGGGGCCGCCCCGCCGGCCGTCCCCCCGCGGAGGGCCGCTCGAGGCCCCCCGCGAAGCCCCCGGCGCCGGCGCGGCGGCGCCGGCGCGGCGGCGCCGCGCGCGCGCGCGCCGCCCTTCGCGGCCCGCAGGCCCGCGCGGAGCTGGACGCGTCGGAGGCCTGCCGTCCCTTCCCTCCTCCTCCTTCCTCCTCCTCCATCTCCTCCTCGTCCTCCCTCGTCCTCCCTCCTCTCCTCCTCCTTCTCCTCCTCCTCCTCCTCCTCCTCCTCCTCCTCCTCCTCCTCCTCCTCCTCGGGTCGCCTGCGGCCCCGTCCCTGGCCAGTATGAAGAAACTACACACTGTTCGTTTCTGATTTCTTCGAGGGTTCTCTGATCTTCCGGGGGGCCGGGTCCTTGCATGTCTATAGTCAGTTCTTCTCTCCTGCGCCTCTTCCAGGCCACTACCTAGGGGGCCAGGAAGACTCAGAAACGAGCACAATTAGAAATGAGCACGATTAAAAATGAAGGACGTGTATCCCTGTGTCTGGCATCGCTTCTTGCTCGGCGGCGCCTGTTGCTTCTTGCTTCCATCGCTTTATAGTAGTTATCCTCCCTATTGTCAGTGTGCTCCTGTTTTGCCCCGCTTCGGGTGCCGTTGCCGCTCTTCCTCCACATCGGAGGACGAGGCGGGAGGAGGGTAAAGAGGAAGGCGTATGAGGGTCTCTGAGTTGTTCCAACGCGCGTGCGCCGTTCTGGGCCTCCCGTGCTTTCTGGGCGACCTGCGCGAGAGGACGCCTGGAGGCCTCTGGCCCCCCCCGCCCCCCAACGGCCGAGACGCGAACGGAATCCGCGGCCTGGAGGCAGCGGGAAGCGGAGCGGCGCAAGGTCACCGGTGTGTCTGGACCGCGGCGGGTGGGGCGCGCGAGGGGGGCCACGCTGTGGCGGCTCGGCAGGGGAGGAAGCGCAGGCTCCGGGAGGGGGGGAGGTGGGGAAGGGGAGGAGCGGTGACTGGAGCAGGCCTTCCCTGCGACCTGCCTGCCTTGGCGGCTCGGCCGGGCACGGACGAGGAGGAGGCAGAGGTACGGTCGGGGGTTTGCGGACAGCGTGTCGCTCCGCCAGTTCTGTCCCACCACGCTCCGGCGTGAGCCGCCATCCACGTCCTGGCCCCTGGGCGTCAGTGTCCCGAGCAGTTCCTAGCCTCCCGCCCCGCGGAGCGCGTATACCGTCTGCGAAGAGCAAATTGTTGAGGCATACTTCCCTTCCAACCCACTTGCGAGGCATAGCGTGTCGCCAGGGCCGCCGCGGCGATACGTTATGCAAACATTCCCGGCCGTATGGCGGCTCGGCCGGACATGGAGTAGGAGGAAGCGGAGGTAGTGATGGGGGAGTGGGGACAGGGGAGCGGAAGGGCGGGGACTGGAGCAGGTGTTCCCTTCGACCTCCCTCCCTTCGGGTTTCCATATGACACCGCGGAACAGAGGGGGTAGGACACCGCGGAACAGAGGGGGGTAGGGGATGGGAGAGAGGGGGACGGGGGTCCGGGGACGGGAGGTGGAGACGAGAGACAGAAGGAAGGGGAGGCTCGGGTAGGTCCACACAGAGTTGGGGGCCTCGGCGGTGATCGAGTGTATCCGCCCAGGCCGATGCACTTGCGATGGATCCGCGCCGATCGCTTTGCACTGCCCCGTGGCCCCTGGCACATCGCGCAGTTCAGCCAAGCTGTGCAGGCATCATGCTGCGCCCACGGCGCGAGCTGGCGGGTGTGCCATCGGACGCTGTCTTGTCCACGTGCCGGACCGTACTGGACCTGCCATTGCGCTCGCTTCTGGGTCGGCTGCCGCGCGGCGTGTCAGCACTTGCCTGCTTCTGCGGACGGCGGGCCGTCCAAGGGAGAGAGCGCAGGAGGGAGTGATTGACTCCAGGGCAGCTCCGTCGCGAGTCCTGGGGGACTTCGGGAAGGCGGCATGCAATATTCTCGATGTTCAGGCTGGGCTGGGACGCGTCGTGGTGCTTCTGTCTGGACGCCCGAAGTGGGTACGGAAAGAATGGGCACAATGCCCAACTGCAGTTCCTGTTCATTTTGAACAGGACTCGCTGTCCACGCCGCCGCGGCCTGTGTCCATCCAAGACAGGAGGCCGCCTGCCCAACAGCGGCCGCTGTTGGTGTGGGACAACATTTGTTGTTGGGCATTGTATCCACTCTTTCCGTGCCCATTTCGGGCGTCCAAATTCTGAGCTTACGGGGGCGTCCGTGGGAGGTTCCAGGGGCCTCCGAGTGGCCTCTAAGCTTCCAGGGAGCCTCCAGGCTTCCAGGATCCCCACTCTCTCTCCCTCCACCTTTCTCTCCCTCCGTCTTTCCACGTCCGTCCCTTCCGTTGTGTCAGCCCTTCGGCTCTGTCCCCTCTGTTTTCCCTCCTCTCTGCCCTCCAACTCTGCCACTCCTCGGCGCCTCCGCCAGCGGCACCTGAGCGACCCCGGCGCGACCACGCGCATCGTGGAGCGCCGCCTGTCGCAGCAGGCGGCCGCGGCAGGGGAGAGGGGGGAGGGGAGAGCAGGGCGGGGCGGGCGGCAATGGCGGTGCAGGCGAGGGGGCGGCGACCGAGGAGCGGCGGGAAGGGCGGGGAGGGCCTGGCGTGGGAGGCAGGGGGGGAGGCGAAGCACGGGGTGCCTCCTCCTCCTCCTCCTCCTCCTCCTCCTCCTCCTCCTCCTCCCCCTCCTCCTCCTCCTCCTCCTCCTCCTTCTCCTCCTCCTCCTCCGTAGCCATTTTGGCTCAAGCCATTTTGGCTCAAGCCATTTTGGCTCAAGCCGTACCCATTTGCTCGAGGGCTTGTGCTTTGGTCGTCAGTCGACCTTTTCGGTCCTGCTCCCTCGGCTGCACCATTCAGCCACTCGCAGGCCGCCGCTTCTTCCCATGGGGCGCCATTCTGATGAGCGCTATCTTGTTTGCAGCCGTTGTACCGGCAGTTGGATATACGTGTCCAATCCTCGGGTTTGCTGCAAATATTGTGATCGTCCTTTTCCTGGGCGCCGGAAGTCCACCGGCGTTTCCGACCCTGAGCAATCGGCTCGGCATGAACGCGATCGGTCTGGTCGTCACCGGCGTGATCGGCGGGAGCTTGATCGTCCCCCTCCCGAGCAGCGTGATGGCCAACGACGTGGCGATCGCGAAGGTCACGCGCATGGGGGTGGTGATGATGCGGATGGCGATGCCAGTATTGCCGGCAGTGATGAATCTGGTACGTCGCATCGCAAGGACGTGCATTGTGTTGACCTGCTGTTACAAGCACGCACACGTTATGCGCACCAGCTGCACAACTTGTTCTCCAGGTTACTGGTTTCCGAGGAGCTGGAACGTGTCCGTCGCGATATCGCTAAGGAGAAGGAGGAGAAATACGGCATGCTCACGCAAGAGCAACGTAGGGCGCAGGTATCTAGCCATGTGCGTTGGAATACTACTAAGATCGAGAAGCTCGACGGGCATTTGGCGGAGTTGCAGGAGCAGCTCAACTCCCTCCTTGATAAGAAGGAGGTTCTCCTCGCGCGCCGCCAGCGCTTGGAGTCTATCTTGCAGGATTGGCAGGCTCAGGAGGCTGCTCTCGATCCAGATGTCCAGGCTGCTGCTGAAATTGCTTCTAATCAGGATGCGGTGGAGTGCCTCCGGTCGGCCATCCCACGGGACATCATCGCCTTGCCCCATGTCGTGCAGGCTTTGGCCCAATTGTCTGAAACCTCTGCAGGAGCCAAGGGATCTCAACACACAGTCAGGGCGGCCCACTCCAAAGCAGCCCCGCGCCCCCCCAGGACCTCCTCGGGGGACTCTCAGGGCGCTGGCGGTCGGACCTGGTCTGACGATGTCCCGATTGATCGTGAGTACCCTTCTGACGAGGAGTTTGATCCAGACACCATGGATTGGGACGCCTGGAGGGCTCATCATGGACCTCTTGAGGGCCAATCGGGACAATCCCGGGCCTATCGTGGACACCCCCGTACTGCCCCCGTCGAGTCATCTGGAGGGCGGCATGGGGCGTCTGATGGGTAGCCCCGCGTCCGGGGTCCAGGAGGCCCCGTCACCTGTACCCGTACCCGTACAAGTTTTTGTTCCTGAAGGTTCATCTCAGGACTTGCCGTCTACGTTGAGTTCGGCACCTCCTGAGTCTAAGCGGAGTCGCCGTCTCAAGCGGCATCGTTCTTGGCGAGTGGCTACTGCTAATATCACTACCTGGACCCGCTGCCCTGGTTTGCTCGGTGATAGAGTTTCGATGCCTTGTGTATCCAGGATTTGTGTCGTGCTCCTGGTGCCCTGGACGATCCTCATCACCAGGCTCATCAGGCGGGTTAGCGGTCTGCTCTTTACCCTTCTGTGCTCACTGAGGCCGGAGGCTTGTCAGCAGGCGTGGGTGTCATGTGCAAGTGGTCTACTGCCCTTTTCCAGTACACCTTTCCCTTGGTAGACGTGCCTGCTCCAGAGCGTTGCATTGCTACCTCTTGGTTTGGAGTCGCTCCTTTGGGCATTGTGTTGTTCAGTGTGTATTTGCATTCTGGTGGGAGCTCTGATGCTAAAGAAGCCAACCGCGACCTTCTGTTTAAGCTGGCTGCTGCCCTGAAGGCCACCAAAGTTCCCTACATTATAGGCGGTGATTGGCAAATGTCTCCAGCTGAGCTGCGTCGCACAGGCTGGATTGAGCTTGTGGATTGTGTCATCGTGGCTCCTGCTGAGCCCACTTATGTTTCGGGTGACACGTCATCTCTGATTGATTTCTTCGTTGTTCATCCTGTTATTGCTCATGATGTGTCTTGCGCAGTTTTTCACACCACGACCATATCTAAGCACCAGCCCGTGGTTTTGTCTGTCCACTCCAGCTTTCAGCGGCGACTGGCACAGACTATTCGGAAGCCCCCCAGCATTCCGGTTGATATTCCCCAGGGCTGCAATTTGCCGCCTTTTGGGCATGGCGACTTCCTTCTCGAGTTCGACGAGACAGCCGACCTCGACCATCTCATGTCTATGTGGTTACAACGTGCTGCCGGGGAGTTGCTTTACCTACATCAGTTGGACCCTGCCCTACAGTCCCGCTGGGGACAGGACGTATCTTTCGTGATGGTTCCCGCTCGTCTTCGTTGTCATGCCCGCCCTACTGCAGGCTTTCATGCCCGGTTGTGGTGACATCTGGCTATGCGTCTTGAGCGCCTCGTCCAGCTTCGCGAGCGCGGGCTGCATCGGGATTCTTACACTTGTGCGAACAAGATTCTGCGTTATAAGCCGTCCCCACGGGAGGGCAGACCACCCGATGATTGGCCAGCTTGGGTGGAGTCTGTGCGTTTTCTTCCTGACATGCCGTTGCAAGATATTCGTGATCTTTGGCGCGATCTTGATCTTAAGGCACATGCCTTGGAGGAGTCTGCAGTCAAGGATCGTCATAAGCACTGGTGCGAATGGGCATCTGAAGAGGCCGCCAAAGGCTCATCCGCTGCTTTTCGCTTTATTCGTGGCGAAGATTCTTGGCTGGAATTCGAGATCGACCCCGCCGAATCCGAGGAGCCTCCAGGTACACCTATGCATCACATTTTATGTCGGCAGAAATTCTGGCATCCAATTTGGGGCGTTGGTCTGCCGTCTGAACGTCCAGATTTTCCGCCGTTATCCCGGCGTGATCTCGACGATTTGGTCATTCCTGCCCCCGCTCAGCTTCGGGAGCTTTCTTCGAAGTACCGCAAACGGACGTCAATTGGCGTCGACTGGTTGCATCCTCGGCACATCGGCCAGCTATGCGATGCAGCTCTTATTGGTCTGACATCTTTGTGGAGGTTGATGCTTTTGCTGGGTCGTCCTCCCAGGCAGCTGTCGAGCATTGTCTTGTCTTTGCTACCTAAGAAAGTTGGCGGCGATCGCCCCGTCGCGTGTTTCGCTACGAACATTCGGATCATGACGCGCTGGTATCGGCGCACTGTGGGCGCACGGTTTGCAAAACATACTTCGCGAGCATATTTGTATGGTGTGCGTGGTCGCTCCTGTACGGCGTGCGTGTGGAAGCAGTCTATCATGGCGGAACTTGCACACGCTCGCGGTTGGTCTTGTCTGGCACTTCTACTTGACATAGAGAAGGCGTTCGAGAACGTGATGCATCACATTTTGGTTCCCAGAGCTCTCGAATTGGGCTTCAATCCTGCGCTTTTACGCTTCTTGATCGAGTTGTATCTTGGACCCCGCTTCATCTCTGTCCAGGGCATCCCTGGAGAAGTTGTGCGGGCGACCCGCACCATAGTTGCAGGGTGTGCATTCGCAGACCTTCTTATGAGAGCAACGCTGCTCCGTGACATGGACCACCAAGTGGATAAGTTCCGATACGCTTATTATGGCATGGTTGCTGACGACATTCAGTGCTTGCTTGTTGGGACCCCGAAGTTTCTCATGGAACAGGCGCCGTTTGTCGCCTCGTCGCTTCTGCACGTGTTATCGGTCTCTGCTCGGCTCCCAGTGTCCGTGCCCAAGTTGGCATTGCTGACGTCTGACCCCGCGCTGGCTGAAGGTGTTATTCAGGCCGTCCCTGTGCTTAGGTCTGCGCCCCGAGCTCAGAACGCCAGGAACTTGGGGATCGACTTCACGCTGCGGCCCCGGCGCGGCCTACTGCGGCACGTGCGCAAGGCGCGCATTAAAGAAGTTATGCATCGTGCACGCCGGACGGCCCGTCTGCGCAAGGCTGGGGCTAGCGTGGGGCGTCTTGACCGCTCAGGTCTTCAGCCGGTTGTGATGTATGGGTCTGGAGTTACAGGGATGAGCACGGCGCACATCCAGCAAATACGTTCTGCTTATCGCGTAGCTATGTGCTCGCGGTCTCACCGCTGTGTTACCATGGACCTGGCCATGGAAAAAATCGTCAACCCAGCGGTTCCTGCCCATACCGAGGTCGTCTTAGCTTATCTTGCTTATCGGTGGGATTCTTTGGCGCCGCAGCACCTCGTGGACGAGACTTTCCAATGGGCCATTGACAACGTTCGAATCGGCACCTGCTGGGACAGTCTCCATGGCCCGGCGTCGACTACAGTGGCGACGCTCTTACGTTTGGGGTGGAGTTTCCAAACCACCACTGTCTGGATCAATCCGCAGGGCTTGCACATCGATATTTCTCTTGTTTCGCCCCGCGATGTCGAGAAGATGTTGCTTGGGACGCGGACGCATGGGGCTGGCAGCGAACGGCTCCTCATCACCTTGTGCTCTCCCACCTTGCTGGTCCACCGTACTTACCTCCGCTTCGCACTCTGGTCAATATTACTACTCCGGCTGGTCCCCGTAGGGGGCCCCCTGTCGTGGGATAGGAGACTCACGCGTTGGTGGCTCATCCGGGTCCTTTCCTTCATTCGCTTCGATGGCAGTTGCATTTTGGCCATCTACTTGTTCCTTCTGTTGGGGGGTCATGCGGAGAAGTGTTCTTCCTGCTGTGGCGCACCAGACTGGGATTGTGAGCCTTGGCGTGATGTCTCTGATCGACAGGCGTTTATTCTCGTCTAGGTTACTGCCAGACTCACGTCGGAGAGCGTTTCGTGCTCGCTTTCCGTGGCGCCGCGAGACGAGACCCACAGTAGGCTTTAGACCGACGATGCCGCATGCGGCTGCTGGATGCCAATCCGCTATGGAGTTGGGCATTCTATGGTTCTTCTTCGGCGATCCTCAGGCTGCGCCTCTACTTCTGTCTCCTGTCTTTGGCGACGGTTCAGGTCTCTATGGCCCTTCACCGAGAGCATTGCGCTGCGGCTTCTCTGCGGTAGCTGTGGGGCCATCTGGCGAGGCGCGCGTGGCCGCCTACGGTGCTTACCCCGGTGCTCATCAATGTGTGCCTGGTGCTGAAACTCTGGCTTTGCTAGTTTTCCTATTGCATGCCTTGCCGGATTCAAGTGGTAGCTATGTATATTACACCGATTGCCAGTGGGTGGTGGATTCTTGGCATGCCCCATCTTCTCAAGTTGTCTCTGGTTGGAGTCCCCACTCGGGCATTTGGGCTCGCATTCACGCGAAAGCTGCCGACATTGGTTACGACAGCCTTAACTCTCAAGGAAGGCGCACTCACTGTCTCTTCTCTGCCCAGGCCGCTGTGGCTGACACAGGGGACTGATCTTGCTGACAGTTTGCTAAGCTTGGTGCTCGGCGTCATCCTGTTGATGGAGCTGCCATGGAACGTCTGAGTAGGTCGCGTATTGTAGTAGAGCACATTGGCAAATACATAGGTTTTGTAATGTCTCGTATATTGCCGCGCCTCAATGAGTTTCCTCGCCCTCCCCGGGCCGTCCTTCCTCCATGTCTACACCCCCCAGCGGCTGTCGTGATGCCGCCTACGGGAGTCCCACATGAGTTAGCATGGGACTCTTCCGTCCAACGCTTTCGGTGCATAGCCTGTTGGGCCTCCAGCCATTGCAAATTCGAGCTGTATAGGTCCGCTTGTCCTGCCCCTCATGGATTCGGCCATGTGGTCATGCGTACTGGTAGGTACGTATTCTGTAAATTATGCGGTTCGTATTCGTCCACGAATGTTGGACACCTTCACAAATTGTGTAACAGGCGTCCAGAATCGAGCACCGCCAAGTACAGGCTTGGTTATTTGATGCAGGGACTGGACCCCAAGAGTAGACAGTCCACTGGTCCTGTGTTGCCAGCAGTGACGCGGCTATACGACGAGCTGGGGGACCCGTCGGTTGGTTGCTCTATGTCTGGCCTTTGGATTGCTTCCTTCCAGTCGTCCCCTAGGCTTGGCTGATATAGACTCGCATTCGCCCCCAACCCCCCCCCCAGCGCCTAAGATCCTCTCAGCAGGTGCCATCCTCGGCCATGCGCGTAGCCGTCTGTCGGCACTCCACCTGGCTTCGCCAGGGCGGGTTTCGAGCGTTTGGGTTCCTTAGTTTGGTCTTACGAGTATTTTACCTGGACGGCCCGCGGGCGTTTATACCAAGCAGCCCATGTCGGGGGCAGAATTTGCAGGGCGCCTAGAGCAGGGTTCGGGGGATGTTGCCGCTAAGGTCTCGTGAAACTTCTTTGGGGCCCAGGTGTCGATTTTTTCGTCGGCCGTTTTTGTTGCCCACCGTACTCCCCAGTATTGGGGCCTGTCCGGGGTGAGCGATTCGTGCAAAGCGCGGTCGCCCCTCCTTCTTGTTTCGCTGTTTCTCTTTTCTTGGACCTGCCTCTTCGGAGGCAGGCCACCGTCCTAGTCCTAGTCCTCCTCCTCCTCCTCCTACACCTCCTCTTGCTACACCTCCTCCTGCTGTGTGCCCACGCGCGCAGGAGCGCGCATGGGAGGGCGCGAACGAATGAGGAGCGAGAGAGTGGAGGGAGGGACGAGAAGCGAGGCGAATGTGAGAACGGAGGAGGAGGAGGTGGAGGAGGAGGGATGCATCGACAACGACGACGACCCCAGGACCTGCAGCTTGAGCTGCTCGCCAGCCTGCGATTTCAGGGTGAAGCACATCCGGAAGACCCACCTCCGGTTCCCCAGCGCCCCAGCGCCCGCACTAGGGGGGGAGGACGGGAGGAAGGGAAGAAATAGGAACCTCGCAACCGCTCGGACGTCTTTTCCCTGTGCATGTTTCTGCTTCGTGCGTGTATTTTTCTCAAGATAACCAAAAAGGCTCTTCTTGATGGCCCTCGCCGATCAAGAAATGAACACGTCCGAGCGATGCCAAGGAATGAAACGATAATGGGACCACTGACAAAAGTCTGCACGAGACATCAACCTGCTTGGCCAAAAGCTCATCGGGTCTCAAGCCCCGAGATAACCTGCCCAGAGACTCCTTGCGCTTCTTGGTTGGATTCCTGGGATCGCACAGCTTGCCCAAATTCCTGAGCTGGGGTCCCCCGTAAAAACCACAGGCTCTACAAATCCAACACGAAGACTCGGTATGGAACAAGAGCTGGCAACGTTCATGAACCCACCCTCCTCGTAGCTGGGACGTGGCCTGTGGATCCTTCAGAGAAGAATACCGAGGGTCAGAGAAAGAGAGAGAGGAGAGGGATGGCGGAGTTACGCCATCTGTTACGGTGAACATGCGCTGACCAATTGCAAGACGGAGCGCACTTGCAAACTCAGACCAGGGACGCGAGCGTGTCGTAGTCGACCAAGAGTGCGTCAGACTCTACGGATTATTCAGATATGTGTTTATCAATATGAGCAGTATTGCTTTTATTATAATTAGTCTTACTTTTATTAATAAGAAATAAACAAAAAGACGTCGAACAGTGACCAATGACGGGTAGCATCAACTCGCCATGGAGAGGGGGAGGTCGAGGTGCGATGGGGGCAATGTCCCCTGCCCGCATGAAGATGGTCGGCAAGAAGCTCATGAATATAACCAGGGCCAGCGTCGACAGCAGGCCTTCAAGCCTCCACCACGGACAGGTTTCGCGCGACAGGACCCGGCGTCCAGCCTCAAACTGACTCCAGCACCCCTGTTCTCGTTCAACCTTCACCATCTCCACCACATCCCACCATTTTTCCCCTGCTGCCTCCACAGTCACCCGATATTCATGGATGCTACTTCTCTCCCCTGACCGCATTCGCTTTTCTCCTGACACGCCCACGCAAGTGCTGCCGATACCAATTGCGACTCTACATGAACTGTTGCATCGTGATATCCGACTGGAACGTACCCGGTCGCTTGCCTGCTGGTAGTGCACATACACCAAGCCTGCGACGCCACAACTTTTGTTCTTCGAGTCGCCGGCCCCGGAAACTCCTTCCGCCGCTTCCCGAAAAGTGTTCAACGGAAACCGGCAAGACATCGAAAAACCTACGCCTCGACCGTCTCTCAGGGCCTCGCAACTCTCGGCCCGTGGGCCGAAATTCGACCCCTCGACGTGTCCTGGAGTAGCTTCGGACCAGACTCTTGAGACGGACTCAGCCGTGGCGACGAGGAGCCCTAAGAATTACCAAAAACGCCCAGTAACCTCAAATTTCGTGACATCGAAGTTCGGGTGGCCCGAAAAGGGCTGCCAGGAATTGAGTGGGGGGGGGCCTACATTATGGCCAGTGGCATGCGCGCGGACGAGGGGTGGCCAGGGGACGTGAGATCCCCCCCGCAAGTCCTCGTCCGATTTCCTGTTGGATGCCCCAAAGAAATTTCGGTGAGCTCTATCTCCAGGTCCGCCGCATCCGAGTCCTCCGTTTTGTCCTCATCCTGGTCGGCGTCCTCCTCCTTCTCGTCGCGTTCCTTTGCAATGCGCCTCGCCCTCACCCCCGCGCAAGCCGGAGGCCTGGCGAGCACATCGGGATAGCCAGGGAGCCCCCGCCAGCGGAGCTGGCGGGCGGTCGGCGCCGCAAATTGGCGGGACACAAAAGAAGCTGGCGACCAGCTGCAGATCGGGGGGAAGGAGGTGGGGGCGCGGGGTCGGCCAGGGCCCCCTAGGGGCCCCTCCCCCGGGGGGGGGGCATCGGGCGGGGCGGCCACGAACGAACGAAAGACGAAAGTGAAGAGTTCCGAGCTCCAGGACACAGCTGCGCAAGAAAATAACGGCTCGTGCCTTCATCGGCAAGTCTGGACAACTCGACGGCGAGCGCCGCAGTTGATCTTGCGAGCCGCGGGTTGCCGTGGATGCGCTTCGTGTCAAAGTTTGGGTCGCCAAGCCCCCCGTGGCGCGGGGTCCCAGCAGCTCGTCTTTGCTTGGTGCCCCTCCCCCTCCCAGGGGCCCCCCTCGGTGGGCGGGTCCGCGCAGGCGCCCTCGGGCTCGCGACGCCGCGAGCACCGCCCTCGCAGGCGCAGGCGCCGCGCCCTCCACGGGCGGCGGCTTCGGCGGCGGCACCCGCCGCCTATGCCGAGGGCGCGGCGTGGTGCATAGACAAGCGCGCTCCACTGCTCGCAGAGTAACTACCCGCAAAGTGGCCTGGATCCGCCGAGGGGGCATCTGCGGTCCACTGCATCGAGGGCCAGTCGCATCACTGTCTCTTGTTCGGACTCCGATGTCCTGCGTGAGCTATGCTAGTGCCCTTTTCTCCATGATCTCGCGCAGCCTCGCGGCTCAGTGTCCGCGATCATCGCGCGCTTGTATCCTTGCGATGCTCCTGCTGTCCAGACGGCCTGCGCCATGGTTCACGTGCGACGTGCGCTCACATCACCTTGGCGCCTTCACGCTGCGCCGCTTGACTCTCGATCTGTCCTCACACTCCTCGCCTGCTGCGGTGCCGCGATCGTCTCGGTACAAGCAACGAGAGACCCTGTGTGTAAGAGTGACCCTTGGTCGGCGGCTGCGCTGTGCTGTGTTTGTGACGACACTATGTGCGCTGATGCCTCGTTTTTGGGCTACTCACACTCGATGTGGCCGTGCTCGCGAGATGCAAGCGTCCTCGCTGCGACGCTAGTCGCGCTTGTATTCAGCCCTCTGGGGACCCATCTTGTGCCGCACAAAGGTCACTCCGGCGAAAGGTCACTCTTACGTCTAGTCGAGGAGAGCGCGGGGGGCGCAGGGGAGCGGGGGCCCGCCTGCTGCCGCGCGGGGCCCCCGGCCCCCCAAGGGCGGCGCGCCGCACGCCGCACCCCGGCGCGGCCCGCACCGCCCTTTGGGGCCGCGCGGCCCCGTCCTGCCCCATCGGTGGGGGCCGCCGGGGCCCGCTCGGGACCCCCGCCGCGCGGGGTCCTCCCCATTTGCTGGCTGGTGTTGTCTCCCTGGGGTGCGTCCCCTCGGGGCAAGGGCGGCAAAAGGCTGAGCCGCCACCCCGCGGGCCACCCCAAGGGCTCCCTGCAGTCACGGACATCTGGAGCGGCCTGCCCTGCACCGTCCTGCATGGTCCGCCTCTCTCTCCCCTCCTCGTGGGGTAATCATCGAGGCATGCACCGTATCGGCATGGTATGGTTCAGTTCCGTCGTTAGTGTGCGTGTGTATGTGTGTGTCAGTGTTGTGTGTTTATTGTAAGTTGTGTGGGGGGGGTGAGTGGGTATGTGGGGGAGTGTGCGTGTGCGTCTGCGTGCGCGTGTGTGTGTTTGTGTGTGGTGTGTGGTGCGGTGCGTGTGTGTGGTGTGTGGTGTGTGGTGAGTGGTGTGTGTGTGTGCGTGTCTGTGTCTGTGTGTCTGTGTCTGTGTGTCTGTGTGCCTGTGTCTGTGTGTCTGTGTGTCTGCGTGTCTGTGTGTGTGTCTGTGTCTGTGTCTGTGTCTGTGTCTGTGTGCCTGTGTGTCTGTGTGTCTGTGTGTCTGTGTGAC